AGTGTCTCAGTGTCCCCATTTCTCCCAGTTTCCCTAAATGTCTGTGTCCCCGGGTCTCTCAGTGTCCCCAGTATCCTAGTGACATGGGGACACACTGAGACATTGGGACACTGGGAGAAATGGGGACACAGACACTGGGAGATTAGGGGACTGGGCGACATGGGGACACTGACACTGTGATACATAGGGACACTGAGACACTGGGTGACTTGCGAGACTGAGACACTGGGAGACAGGGAGACACTGGGAGCAATCCATCTATAAGGCAGAATCAAACTGTGAGTAGTTTGGTGATTTTACAGAATTTTCTCTGATATCACTCCTTGTGATTTACATCATGTGATGTCACGCATAACTAATTAATTATACAAATGATTAAGGCTGGTATTTTTTTCCAAGAAAGGTGGCAACCTCAACTACTCTTCACATACTCTTGCTTAAAGGAGCACTATAGGGTCAGGAACACAATCATGTATTTCTGACCCTATTATGTTAAAACCACCACCCATTCTTGCCCCTTCTTGCCTCCCTAAATATAGTAAAATATTACTTGTATTCAATTCTGCAGCTGCTGGCTCAGAAGTGGTGGTCTAAGCAAATTACAATACTTCCCCATAGGACTGGCTGAGACTGTCAACTAGGCAGATCAGGGGCAGAGCCAGCACAAGTCCAACATAGCCCTGGCCAATCAGCATCTCCTCATAAAGATAAATTGAATCAATGCATCTCTATGAGGAAAGTTCGGTGTCTACATGCAGAGGGTGGAGACACTGAATGGCAGTGCTGCACACTAGGCAGTACTGCCCCAGGGAGCACCTCTAGCAGCCATCTAAGGAGCAGCCATTGGAGTTGGGACAGTCCTTTGAAAGAATGGAATGAGCGCATCATTAGACACATTTATGTCAAGCTCAAGGTGCTGCCTGCATAGTATGCCCTTAGTTGGACAGCCTGCAGGATTGGCAGGCAGCCTGACATGCATTCATGCCAGGCTGACCTTCCAATTCTTTGGACAAACATGCCCCCTTTTGGGCATGTTCACCCCTTTTGGCAGGTCTTGTCACGTGATTCGCGCCAGTGGCACACCCTTTTACCCCGCCCATTGACTTCCTGCTTTACTGGACACTGCTGTTAGGGGTTATGGATTTACATGAAAGATGAAAGCATAAATTAGAGAGAAATTGGCATAGAGTATGTGTTTTCTTTTAGCTGCATCCTATGAGTTTCCCTCCAGCACCATCTCTATCAGATACATGACGCTTGGGAGGTATGATTGTTTTAGTGTTTTTGGTCGATAAGATTCCGTAATTAGGCCCATCATAATTGTCAGCACCAGGCCCACTGTGCTCTTAATCCGGCCCTGCCCCCCCCCCATACACACAACACACTTCAAGCAGCTACCCCATACACATAGGGTCCCAGACAAAAACTCAAACATGCTCACAGAGACATACATTCACACACACACACACACACACAGATACTGTGCATCAATGTGTATATGTGACAGTGTACATGTATTGCAACTCTATTTTTTTTCACTTTTTTGTTAGTGGGGCCTCATGGTTGAGTGCATCTATCATTTAACTCTGCAATGTAAAACATTGAAATTTTGTGTTTGGCTGTGCATGCCTATTCCCAATCCATTGCTTTTCTAGGAGAGACAATGAATTGAAAGAGATCACGGACGAAGTCTGCAGGAATGCTGCCATCTTTGAAGGCAAAGCGAGAGGCTACAACATAGTCCTGGCACTGGAAATGAGGTAAGTAATCTTTATTTAACTGTCTGGATATAAATAGGGGGTTGAATGAAGGGAGCCTGTGTCACGAAAAAAAAACTATTGTTATTTTCGAGACTAGAGGTTCCCTTTAACTTCAATGTTTACCGAGGCATGCTTCGTGATTGTGGGTTTATTTGCTTTGGAACTCCATGATTGATGAGCTATTACATATTTCATATTAATGTGACTTTTATGTTTTGCTGTGGAACACCCTGCACTTTATGGTGAGTTGTATTGCTGGAGAGCTCTGTGATACAGAGTTTTATTGCTTTGGAGCTTTGTGCGACAGATTCCCCATTAGGCAGAATAGACACTATAGTCTATAGGTACCTGTCCTGTGGGTGGGGTCCATTTATAGCAACTATAAGGTGCCTTTTTGGAGCTTAGGTGGGCTGGTGACAACAAATAAGTACCAGGATCCTTGGCCAGTATCCTCTGTAGTCCAGTCAACCTCCTATGCTTTATAGCAGGGCTACCAAATCAATTATAGACCATGTAAAAAGCAGTACTGTCCCCACAGCTCCTCCATGATCTGTGTTTGAGACTGTACAAGTGGAAGGGATCACTTCTAATCTACCCACTAACAGTCTCTAACACAGGAAATGCCAGGAGGAGTAGGGAGAACATTGAGTAATTCACACTGTATAAATTCTCCTGCAGCTCTAATACCAATCATAGGACGGTAATTAGGTATTTTGCAAATAATCCTAAAACTCAAATCCCAAATCCACCTCCTGGCAGAGATATGTTGGCCATTCCCTCCCAAAATCTAGCTAGGTCCTCTGAATGTCCAAAAACTGTTCTGAATAATTTATAACAGAAGCCATTAATTCTTCTATGCCTCTAATCTCCTCAACCGGGGCTAGCCATTGCTAAACTGTTGGATCTGTGGGTTACCTACACTGTGCAGAGATCATGGGTATGGTAACAAAAGTGAATGTTTAATGTGTTATATATTCAAAAGAGGCAAGTTAGAGAACTACAGCAATATGGCTGCAGGCTGGAATGTTGCAATAGACCTGCTTGGTAGACCTTGCTCTCCTAATTTGGTACCCTTATGTGGGACTGTCTTACATAGGATATCAAATTAGGGTGCTGTTAAGTAGATAACTTTCCAAATGTGATAACCTTATGCAGGGCCGTCTATAATATGAATAGGACCCCGGGCAAAGCCTTTTCTTGGGTCCCCTGGGCCCTGTTACTGCACCCTCCCTCCCCATTACGCACAACCCGCAATCACACTGACAGACATACTGACACATACACACACACAGACAGACACATTAAAACATTTGCAGATACATACTGACACACACATACACTGACAAAAAAATATATACTGGCAAACATTGACACACATTCAGACATACTGATACACACACAGACACATACATACTCACAGACACATACACTGACAGATATATTGACACAGACACACACAGACACATACACTGACAGGCGTATTGACATACACAGACATACTGACATACACACACACACACTGGAACACAGTGAGACATACTGACATACACACACAGACATACTGACATACAAACACACAGACATACACACAGTATGTCTGTGTGTGTTAGTATGTCTGTGTGGTGTGTTAGTATGTCTGTGTGTGCATGTCAGTATGTCTGTGAGTGTATGTCAGTATGTTTGTGTGTGTATATGTCTGTGTGTGTGTCAGTATGTGTGTGTGTGTGTATGTCAGTGTGTGTGTATGTCTGTGTGTGTGTATGTGTCAGTGTGTCTGTGTGTGTATGTCAGTGTGTCTGTGTGTGTATGTCAGTATGTCTGTCATAGACACACACAGACATACTGACATACATACACAAACAGACATACTGACACAGACATACTAACACACACATACTAACACACACACACACAGACATACTAACACACACACATACTAAAACACACACACACACATACTAACACACACACACACAGACATACTAACACACACACACACAGACATACTAACACACACACACAGGCATACTAACACACACACACAGACATACTAACACACACAGGCATACTAACACACACACACACAACATACTAACACACACACACACAGACATACTAACACACACACAGACATACTAACACACACACAGATACTAACAAACACACACACACACAGACATACTAACACACACACACATACTGACATACATTTAGCCACCCTCCAGGTTCTTACCTTTTTATGGAGGGTGGTTTCCCTGGGGTCCAGTGGCAGGCTGAGGCAGATGGGAGTTCTTCTCTGGAACTCCCCTCCTCCCTGCCTTCCTCCTCCCGCGCGGCTATCTCCGGTGGGAGGAAGTGACACGCGGTACTCACTTCCTCCCAGCCGGTACAGGAAGGGGCCCGGTCGCGCTGTTTAAGCGTCACAGCGCCCGACTGGGCCCCTTCTGCCACATGCCCACAGGGTGGCCCTTAGTGCATGGGCCACCCGGGGGCCTCCTTAGTTGGCGGGCCGGTGCGGCTGCACTGCCAGCCGCCGGGTACATGGGGGCTGCTGAAATCGCGGGGCCCACGGGGCAGCTGCTCTGGGCCCCCCCAGGAGCAACTGGGCCCGGGGCAGCTGCCCCGTTTGCCCCGCGCTAAAGACGGCCCTGACCTTATGTGGGACTGCGTTAAGGATATTTAGTTTAACCCCTTAAGGACCAAACTTCTGGAATAAAAGGGAATCATGACATGTTACACATGTCATGTGTCCTTAAGGGGTTAAAGGAACTGTATAGTGTTAGGAATACAAACCTGCATTCTTAATGCTGTAGTGCCTTAATCAATGGTGTATCCTGGCTTTGTGCTGCCCTAGACTGCAAATGATTCTTCACTTATAACAGGTCACTTAGGGAGTACAGAAAGATCGATTCAGGTGGGTTTAATTTCAAATGGTATATGAAGACATTGGCTGCATCGTATTCTAGATACCTCCAGGAGCTGTATGTGGAAATTCATATACAAATCCTTTTCAATGTTGGCCTAGACTCTTTAAATTAGAGCAGATTAGAACCAGTTGCGACTTTACCAGACCATCCTTGTTTGTAACACAAGGTAATGTTGTACACAAGTTTCCCCTACTTTGTTATCCTGGTTCACTGGGGAAATCATTCAGATCAGTAATGTAAAACACAAGGGGTGTCCAAGAAAATAAATAAAGGAGTAACGTTGGTATGTATTGTTAGCAATATTGTTAATAACTCTAGCTCTTTAATTAGTCTACATTTTTCTATTTAATATGTGTTTTTATTAGTTTTGGGTTTTTTCCTCCTTTTGCATTACATTTATATCCTTTATGAGTACAGTATTAAAAATACATAACAATATTAGTATCACTAATTTTAGGTCCGCATTACACAGTAATCAACGGCATGAATTGTATTCTTTTTTTTTTTTAATAAGTATGCACATGATACATTAAAATAATATGCTGTTATGATTAAATCTCCTTTTCTTTATTGATTAGGTTTTGTCTCAGTGGTAGGTTACAGGTTACTTCTTCCACTGATTATTCTCATAGTCCCAATTGGATGAGAAGCCAGTAACAGGATTAATTCTCATGTCAATCATTCTTCTGGACTGAACCTCTATCCATTCCTTAGAGAGGGTATGGGGAACAGGTCCATACACTGAAAGAAGACAAAACACATCATTAGATAAATTAAAGATACAGTTTGATTTAGCAGTAGTTAGTGGTCCTTCTAGTATCAGTAAAAACAATACAGATCCCAGCACCCATAAGCAGTACTTGACTTGGACACCAGCCCTAGTATACGATGATTGAGTTGACATTGGCATGAGACTAATCTTATCTGTAAGACACAGCTCACAAAATACAGTATTTATATCTAAATTACACTGTGGGTTATGTAGGATTGTCAGCAAATGTACAAGATTACAGCTAGGCCTTCTGTCACTATATAGATTGTCTGAATAATCCCCGTTGGAGGAGAACAATAATGACAAAAGATGGGTATTCTGTTTTAATACAATGCTATATAAACCGATTAAAATTGTATTTCCACCAATGAAATAAATGGTTATAATATTTTGTATGCACTCGCCTATTACATTGAGTAGCTCTAATCTTTTTAAAGGAACAATATTAATCAACCTAAAATATAGAACAAAACAGAATAAATATTTATATTATATGACATATTATCATATAAGGGAATCTATAATCAGCATTTTATATTAACATTTATATAAGCATTTTCTATTGTCTACTACTGAAGTCCAGGCTCAGTATCATCATTTCTTTTAATATGTGGTGCCTTATAGGATCCTGAACCTAAATGTGCCATGAAGAATTGTGACATCTGCTTCTTTATTCCTTATGAATGCAGCTTTATTTATCAAGAAATGTGTGCTCCTTTATACAGACTGAGATATAACATATAATGTATGCTAGCCAACACAAGCAGAATATATAAATAAATGCAGATTTCACTATCTGGAAATTTAAAAATATGTGTATTCAGTGGCTCTGTGTATATTTGGATTTGAGTTAAATATTGCTGGAATAATTATTTAAAAACAACTTGAATCATAAATTCAAATTAAATACATCAGTTATATCAATGCTCAAATAGCAAATCCCCAGGTGTTGTAATACTACATCTAACATTACTTAGGTTGGAATACCAGTCAGACCACCTACTAACTAACCACTAACCACTAACTCATCATCTTTATTTCCTAATTAATTATACTGTCCCAGAACCCAACTCCTTATTTACTAACCCTTCATCCAATTCTCTAATCATTAGATGGGGGCAATCTATATGATCTAATTTAGCAATCACCTAGTAAATGGGGTGGGTGGAGGGGGGCACCTTAGAAATCTATAGTGTCAGGAAAACGGCTTTCAAAGTGTTCTCATTGCTAAAGAACAAGTCTGGAAATTCTGAGGTTGAGGTTTAAACAATAGATTTGTTTACATGGGACACAAATTGGCAAGTGACAAATGACAGATTTAATCCTTCATAATCTGCTGGATGCATAGCTCAGATTATTGAAAAAATATTACAATCTAACTAAAATTTGCCCTTGAATTGATTTATATGTAAGTAAAACGTGAATTGCAAGGACATGTGATTTCTGTCTACAATTTGTTGTTTTTTGAGAAATGAAAGGAAGAAAAAAAAACAAAGATGTTGCCAAATCACAGCATAATTGCCTCTAAATGTAATTCTGACACATTCAACACAATCTTAAAGTGAGCAAATTCTTAAAAAACTAATTTTACAAGAAAAGAGGACAGCAAATATGATGGTACTTCTAAAGCACAGTTTTGTCTTTCTGCATCACACAAAGTCCCTAAACATAATGAAATATAATGAGCAATGCCTGAAGCTCTGTGTTTATTATAATCAAGGCAAAAAGATATTTATTCATTTTCTTAGATCTCATCCAATGTAGACTATAGCTTGGACTCTTCCTAAAATTACTGTGCTCAAATGATTTAATTCATATGTTAATATCATAATCCATAATATCTATGATTTCTTAACTACAAGTAAAGAAATAGAAGTATGCAAATTAAATTAGATAATAACTCATTATTAATTTGTATATGAGGCAATATTACTTCCACAAGTCTCTTCTGAAGGGTAATACAATGCTCTGGCAGTCCGGTAATAAGTTTGCAAATCTGAGCAATTAGGACAAATCTCTAGATTTCCCATGGAAGGTTAGATTCTATCAGATGAAATCCGTATCACACTTTTAATTGAATAGTATTTTTCCAATAAAATCAATGGTTATGTTATTTAGTCAAAAGAGATAAACGTACCTATCTAACATAATCTAGTTAATCAACAGCTATACTATGAGCATGCATTGCTGTAATCAGCCACCGAGTATGGTGTGCAGTGCACGACTAACCATTGAGTTTATTGCCCAGTACAAAACCAACCATTGAGTTTATTGCCCAGTGCACAACCAATCATCGAGTTCATCGCTCAGTGCACAAACAACCACCAAGATCATTGCTCACTGCACAAACAACCATCGAGTTTATTGCTCAGTGCACAAAAACCATCAAGTTCATTGCTCAATGCACAAACAACCATTGGGTTCATTGCTCAGTGCACAGCAAGTCATTGAGTTAGTTGCTCAGTGCACAGCCAGCCATTGAGTTCATTTCAGAGTGCACAACCAACTATTAAGTTCATTGCTCAGTCCGCAAAAGAACTATTGAAATCATTGCTCAGTGCACAGCCAGCCATCGAGTGTGATGTGCACAAGCAACCATCGAGATCATTGCTCAGTGCACAAGCAACCATCGCGTTCATTGCTCAGTGCACAGCCAGCCATTGAGTTCATTGCGCAGTGCACAGCCAACCATCGAGTTCATTGCTCAGTGCACAATCAACCATCGAGTTCATTGCTCAGTGCACAATCAACCATCGAGTTCATTGCTCAGTGCACAGCCAGCCATTGAGTTCATTGCTCAGTGCACAGCCAGCCATTGAGTTCATTGCTCAGTGCACAGCCAACCATCGAGTTCATTGCTCAGTGCACAATCAACCATCGAGTTCATTGCTCAGTGCACAATCAACCATCGAGTTCATTGCTCAGTGCACAGCCAGCCATTGAGTTCATTGCTCAGTGCACAGCCAGCCATTGAGTTCATTGCTCAGTGCACAATCAACCATCGAGTTCATTGCTCAGTGCACAGCCAGCCATTGAGTTCATTGCTCAGTGCACAGCCAACCATCAAGTTCATTGCTCAGTGCACAATCAACCATCAAGTTCATTGCTTGGTGCACAGCCAGCCATTGAGCTCATTGCTCAGTGCACAGCCAGCGAGTGTGATGTGCAGTGCACAACCATCCTTCATGTATGGTGCTCAGTGCACAACCAGCCTTCATGTATGGTGCTCAGTGCACAACCAGCCTTCATGTATGGTGCTCAGTGCACAAACAGTCATAGAGTGCAGTGCACAGTGCAAGCCTGTAATAAAGTATGGTGCTGAACACACCACCAGACATTGACTGTGGTGTGTAGTCCACAACTAGCTTTCAAGTACAAGTGGACAAGTGAAATCCAAACTCCCCCCTTCATTACTCTGGCCATAAAAGGAGTTATTTTATGCATGTTTCCTAAACATTCCCAATGTAATGAGTAAAGTATGCAAGTGAAAACATATACATTAACGTCTACTTTTCTGGTAATAAAGTAAGCTGGCCTTTTCTATTTTTGATGAGATTTTCTGTGTTTAAGTATTTATTAATATAGTTCTACTGTTGTCCTAGTTCTACTCTGCGTTATTCTTGATTGCCTCTTTAAGAAAGGCTGGGATATTTCTCACTGAGACAACAAACCAGATGGTGTTTTCGGCTGCACTAATGGAGTGGATCAGCCTTTTTTTCCTGGTGCTTAACTAGTTGGCATTACACAGCATTAATGATTAAGGTGTTTATCTGCATTCATCTCTGGGTTTATTCAGGAAAAACAACAGCTTGATCTAGGAAAATTGTGATATTGAGGCAACCTTTTATCAACTAAATAACCTCTCTGTTCATAACAGGGGATTTCTTCTTGGTTTTCCAGTCACTGTGATATCAGCACACATTGCATGTATAAAACTTAGTTTTAAAAAAATCATTCAATTCAGTCTGATCTGCAATAATATTGGAAGCACACATTCCATTATCATGAATCATTTTGTACCTAAATATTTCAAATGGGAGGAATAATAATAATTATTATTATTATGATATCTATAGAGCGCCGTCAAATTCCGCAGCGCTTTAGAATGGGTGGACGAACAGACATGTAGTTGTAACCAGACAAGTTGGACAAACAGGAACAGAGGGGTTGAGTGCCCTGCTCAATGAGCTTACATGCTAGAGGGAGTGGGGTAAAATGACACAAAAAGGTAAGGATAGTATTAGACTAATGACAGTTGCAGAAGAGGAATCAGTCAGGAGCTACTAACCGTTTAATTGATACGCTTTTATGAAGAAGTGGGTTTTTAACGATTTTTTGAAGGAGTGGAGACTGGGTGTGCATCTTACGGAGGAGGGTAACCGAGTTCCACGGGAACGGTGCAGCCCTCGAGAAATCTTGAAGGCGAGCATCAGAGGTGGGAGTACGGACAGAAGATAGACGTAAGTCTTCAGCAGATCGTAAGGGCCTAGACGGATAGATAGGTGGGAGCAGCATTATGTAGAGATTTGAACGCAAGAACCAGAATTTTAAATTGAGCTCTATATTTTATAGGAAGCCAATGTAGGGACTGACAGAAGGGTGAGGCATGGGAGGGGCGGGCAGACAGGAAGATGAGCCTCACCGTTGCATTCATTATGGACTGTAACGGTGCTAGTTGGGAGCACGTAAGACCACTGAGAAGCGGATTACAGTAGTCAAGGCGAGAAAGGACAGTGGAATGGACCAACACCTTAGTCACATCTGGCGTTAAGTAGGGGTGGATGCGCGCAATGTTTTTGAGATGGAAATGACAGGATTTGGCGATAGATTGAATGTGAGGCTTGAAGGAGAGGTCGGAGTCAAAGAGAACACCTAGGCAGCGAGCCTGCATGGTGGAGCTGATGGTAGCACCGTTGACTTGGAGGGAGACAGACACAGGAGTAACAACACTTGAGGGAGGAAAGACCAGAATTTCAGTTTTGGTCAAGTTTAGTTTAAGGAAGTGGGCAGCCATCCCACACTAGTCAAGATGGATGGGGAGAGATCAGGAGAGGACAGGTAGATTTGCGTGTCATCTGAATAGAAATGATATTGGAAGCCAAAGGAGCTAATAAGTTTACCAAGGGAGGCAGTATAGATGGAGAACAGTAGGGGACCAAGGACTGAACCTTGGGGGACACCAACAGAGAGGAGTTGGGTAGAAGAAGCAGAGCAAGAGAAAGAAACACTGAAAGAGCGCTGGGAGAGGTAGGATGAGCACCAGGAGAGAGCAATATCTTGTAGACCGATATTGCGGAGGATGAGAAGAAGCTGTTGATGATCAACAGTGTCAAAAGCCGCAGAAAGGTCAAGGAGAACAAGGATAGGGTAGTGACCACGAGATTTTGCAGCGAGTAGATCATTGGATACTTTGGTCAGTGCCGTTTCCACTGAGTGCTTAGCGCGGAAACCAGACTGAAGCGGGTCTAACAGGGTCAATGAAATTGAAACAATATTGTTGGATACAAATTAACAAAATGTGTCTATCTGAGATAGACAGACAGATGATTTCTCATACAACATAATCATAAGACAATTTTAGAATAGATATCCATTTTCAAGAATTATATGTGTTGTAATATAAAAGTGGTACTGCCCTGGTTCCCCTTTTTAAATGTCTATAGTAAGCCAGTAAAAGTATGTGAACTAGCAGTAAAAGACAGAGACAGTAGAAGATGAAGAGATGGAACACTAAGAACATTCTTTCCCTAGCACTTTGTAGAACAGCTTTAAAGTTGCCTCACAAAAGGAGGTGTAGTTTACAATTATCCATTGTTGGACATCATTGCTACAAAGCAGGAGACACCAGTGCTATGCCACCTGCCCATGCCTAGACATTAGTGATTTTTTTTATGTGTGTTTATTGAAACTGAGATTCAAATGTTTTTAACATCATTTTATTGCAAAAGCTGTGAATGTAAAGAGCTTTTCTGCAGATGCTAATGGCAATTCTGTGCATAAATTAAATCTGTTGTCAGCATCTGCAAGGGGAAGCTAGCGCTCTCCTCCCACAATCTTTCCCACATTGCACTCCCTCCTGCAGAATTGGTCATTTAAAAATCAATAAATAACATCCTCCCCTTGACAGCCTGTGGGTCAAGCGTGTGCTTCAAACCAGCTATTGGTCCAATCACAGGCTTCCCTGTGAGAAGCTGCTGATTGGGCCGCAAGTTGCTACTGTGACGTCGGGAGGGGGAGCTGAAGAGTTTTGCCCAACGCTGGATTCCAGGTGAGAAAAACATTTTTATTTCAGGTTTTACTACAAATTGAGTGGGGGAGAGGGGTGGATCTGTGGTCATTGTGTGTCAGTGACTGTGTGTCAGTGAGTGTGTGGGTCCCCATGTGTATCAGTGAATGTGTATGGGTCACTGTGTGTATCAGTGAATGTGTATGGGTCACTGTGTGTGTTAGTGTGTTTGTATGAGTCACTGTTTGTGTGTGTGTATGTGTGTGTTTGTGTCAGTGAGTGTGTAGGGATCACTGTGCATAATAAAAAATTTTCTAATAAGACTAATGTGTACTCTGCTACACACAACACACTCGCCTACAGAGACATAGCAACACACATTACTCAGTTACCTACACATAACCACAAACACCACTCTTAGTTGTCCACAGACTACCACATACATCAATCACAGCTACACACACACACACACACACACACCACTTAAAGCTACCCACATATTATTCACTCTCATACACCATGCACTGTCACATAAATCACCGAAAATAACTGTTTAGTAGGTATACCTCAAATGATAAACTTACATGCATTTTATTATGCATTTTTTCATTGGAGGAATATATAAAACCAGCTTGCAAAAACTGCTGATCTCTTGTCTGCTGCCTTTGCTATCCCTCCTATTCTAAGCCTGCAGCCTGCAGCCTGCAGCCTCCCAATGAAGTCTTTGCAAGGCAGGTGCTGTGGGCTATTGTTGCTTCCTGAGTTTAGCTCCACTGAGCTAAACAACCAGGAAGTAATAGGACGTGTTGTCTGATTGGCAGTCCATACAGAAAGCTTTTCAGCAAGCTAAAGTGCTTTAGGGGTCTGGAGTGTCCCTTTAAGATTTGCCCATTGCCAAAAACTGCCTAAGATCGCAATTCCCTTGAGAAATATAGTCTTTACTTTATTTTATGTATAAGAAAAATTTAGGGGGAATAAAAAATAAATAAATAAAAACAAGAAGAAATCAGAGGAACAAAAGAGGATTCATTTAAAAGCAAAACAAGCACATCGACAGTGTGGTTTTAAGCATCTTGTAGTAGTAGTAACTTTAAGCCTCCTGGATGGATGGCCACCATGTAAGCATGCCAGTGCAGAGGACTCAAAGTACATGAAGTGGCCATATTGCTACCATCACTTGCATTGAGATCACAATACTGTTTACTTTTTTGTACTTATTGGCTTTATTCACTAATCTGTGACTTCAAAACTATGGAGCAAATTTGTATGTTGGAAAAAAAAAACTTTAATTAATCATTTTTTCTCACGTTTTAAATTTCTACATTTTGTTTCCCACTGTTCAGCGAATAGACCCCTCAGAGTAGAAATCCTAGGCTGTTAGTGAGACAGACATCAATTAGGGGATAGCAATGAACAGGAAGGATGAAAAAAGAATGGGGATAATTTTAAATAAATTCTCATTTTTGGCAGTTGTAGAGGAAATTCGTTGAAGAAAAAAAGTTGCTGGCAGGCATTAAGTCTTTCATCAGTGACAAGGGTGTTTTCTTGTGCAACACAGTCTCTAACACCAGAATATTTTTTTAAAATCTCTGCTGTCAGTTTAACTGACAAAAAGCGGCTTGCTTTAACAAGGCAACAAAATTCACAGAAAGAGCAGCCTTAAAGCTGTAACCCTGGGATACACTAGGACAAGCAAGGCATGTTTTACGGAACACCTCAGCTGACCTCCGCTCAGTAAATTCCTAATGTTTAATTCACTGCACTTTGTTATGCTACTGACCCAAACAACAATAAATTATACTAATGGCAATGTCTCCTGTAAATGTAATTTTTAGATGGTTACGGAATATAACTCCAATCTTTATGTTCTCCCTTCCTCTGCGGGAAGACGACAAGGCTCAACTTGTTTGGAATCTCCAACATATTCTGTATTTCTGTGGGTTTTTTTTTCTGGATATTTCTGGAAGGCCATACTATATTTTCTCTAAGGATGAAGCAGCTGGAGTTTAATGCTCTCCCGTATGCTGCATGGGTTTTGAAATCAGGACAAATATAAAGATGACCTGTATAACAGCAGAAGCATCCTGAACACCTGTATGTCTATCCCATTTTAATAGAGCTGGATAAATCTGGAATCTATTATAACTGCACAATGCCTACTCTGTAACCAGAGGGTTCCATTGCAAATAAGCCCGGGATGCGATGTTATGCTGGTATAACAGTTAGTCTAGACTTATCTTTTTAACTTTTTAAACATTTATTGTAAAACAGCATGCATGAAACAATTATTTTATTCATAATGTTTTAAAGCCGCAAATAATAAAATGTTTTATATTGTAATGCATTGTCATGTTATTTAAAGGGACACTATAGGGACCCAGACCACTTAAGCTCGTTGAAGTGGCCTGAGTGCAGCGACCCTGCCCCACTTAGTTCTGCAATGCAAATCATTCCAGTTTTTGAGTCAAACACATCCCTGGCCAATCAGCATCTCCTCATAGAGATGAATTGAATCAATGCATCTCTGTGAGGAAAGTTTAGTGTCTCCATGCAGAGGGTCGAGACACTGAATGGCAGTACTGCACAGTGTCCAGCACTGTCCCAGGAACCACCTCTAGCAGCCATCTGAGGAGTGACCAGTGGAGTTATCACTAGGCTGTAATGTAAACACTGTATTTTCTCTGAAAAGACAGTGTTTACTGCAAAAAAACCTGAAGGGAATGATACAATAAGCTGTAGTTGTTCTGGTGACTATAGTGTCCCTTTAAATTGGACAAATTACCACAAGAGCTTGCACTTAAAGCTGATCTATCATTGTCTGGGGTTTTTGCATAAGTCTCCCAATGGTGACATCGCCACTGGGGTCCCAAGGCCGCAAGGGGCCGGCAAAGGTGAATGTTACTTACCTGAGACTGTCCCTCTCTAGAGCCGCCATCCTCTTCCTGTTGGTCCTCTTTAGCTCCTGGTGATTCAGATGCCAAGAGCTGACTCTCAGAGCTGTACACTTGTGCATGTATAACAGTACAGCATTAAGGTCTGTGGAGGATCCCACATGACTGCTTAAAGGACCACTATAGTGCCAGGAAAACATACTCGTTTTCCTGGCACTATAGTGCCCTGAGGGTGCCCCCACCCTCAGGGACCCCCTCCCGCCCGGCTCTGGAAAGGGGAGAGGGGTAAAAACTTACCTTTTTCCAGCGCTGGGCGGAGAGCTCTCCTCCTCCGATCCTCCTCTTCTCCTCCCTGTCGGCTGAATGCGCACGCGCGGCAAGAGCTGCGCGCGCATTCAGCCGGTCACATAGGAAAGCATTATCAATGAAAATCACAGTGAGAAGCACGCAAGCGCCTTTAGCGGCTGTCAATGAGACAGCCGCTAGAGGAAATAGGGGAAGGCTTAACCCATTCATAAACATAGCAGTTTCTCTGAAACTGCTATGTTTATGAAAAAATGGGTTAACCCTAGTTGGACCTGGCACCCAGACCACTTCATTAAGCTGAAGTGGTCTGGGTGCCTAGAGTGGTCCTTTAATTTCCCTACAGTTGTCACTGGTTATGCCTGGGGTAAATTACTAGCTTGACGATGGTAGCACAAACTTTGTAAGGCAGAGGAAAATACTGAGACAAAGTAGTCCCTACTTTGTCTCAGTATATCTTTTGACTATGTGGAAATTTCAGGGAAATTCCAACACAGTCAGAGATTGTATCTTTATGAAATACTCATATTGGGTGGGGTGACAGTGAAGCTTTAAGACACCACTTGTCACCTCAATCTGGTATCTTCCTGACTTTTGTTGTTTATGGTATCCTTCTAGTTCCTGAGGTACAACCACCTCTACTCCAACAGGACACTAAAATATACAGGTGGTCCTCACTCTATGACCTACCTGTTTTACAAGAGCTCACACTGGGATTCCCCACATTAGAAACCTGGTCTATGCGCAGGGAATTTTCCCAGAAAATAGATTTCAGCGATTCCCTGCGCTAGTGAGCTAATCTATGTTCGAGGAAATTTCCCCGAACATAGATTCATGGTATTCCCTGTGCTAGTGAACTGGTCTACATTTTGGGGGGATTCCCCCAAATGTAGATCTGCTCTCTTGCACATGCTCAGTAGCGCATCCTCACTTACCGACCAATTAGTTCTACAACCGGGTCATAAGAACGGAAACAGTTTTTTTTTTACATTTTTGCTTTTAATAATTTTTACACATCCGGTGCAAATAATGAAAAGAATCAAAATAGATTCATATAACAGTCCTGGTTGTTAAATGGCTTGTAGGATCTAAATTAATGTTTATAGTTAATGCTAACCCTAAACCAACCCCTACACTAATGCTATACCAACCATACCCCTTACCCAAAGCTTACACTAACTCTCACCATATGCCTATCCTAATCTTACTTTTAACCATAAACTATACCCAATCCCAAAACAGCATTAATCTATAACCAGCAGTGACTCTTACCTTACCACTTACCCTAACCCTACAGCTAAGCATAAACCTACACTACTCTTAAGCCCAAATCGACCCTTAACCATAACCCCACTAACCCTACCCCTAATGTAACCCTCATCTAATATCAATTCTGATATTAGAAAATGGGCTTCCTATTTAACACAATAGATAGTGGTCTATGACCACCATCTACTGGCTGTAGTGTAATTATAAATGGAGCCCTGTTTTTCTGCTGATTACACTGTGATCGATGCTGGTCAGCTGACAAATGCAAGCAGTTGAAATGACTGAGGCCACTAAAATTGGCAGACATAGGTACCTGGGACTCCCTGGTGTGAGAAGGAAATTAACCAACAGGTTTGGTTGTTGGGAGGTGGGATTATCTTGCAGTCATGAATCAATTCCTGTTTGCATTATATGAATGTGTTAAATAACAAACCAAATACCTGGTTTGTCGAAAACTGTTATCTATATAGTGTTGTAGAATCACACTTTCTGCTTATAGATCAAACAGGTCATGTTTTTGAAAGACAAACCTCTAAGGGTTAAGTTCTTGTTCTGAATCCTAGCAGGGCAACCTTTTTATTAATGCAGTTCACAAAACACTGAGCCCCTCCGGGGAAAGCGAATTACATAATATATTTAAGATGGCCAAAAGCCTGCAGCAGAGTGTTCACATGGCAACACCTGCTGTTTACTCTTACACCACTGATTAGAGACAGTGTGCTAACATGAACATAATATGGAAAGCACAGAGCTAAATGCACATTGTATTAACCAATCTTTCTCCTGAAATAAATGGTTACTATTATTTATTATTAAGAACCAGCAAAATCAGAGTAACCCATCACTGATTCTCCAGATCTACCTAGGAGTCTATTCACTAAATGGTGAGATGACTACTGGCACCCAAAATCATAAAAAATGCCATACTGAAAAAAACTTCAAATTGGCATGTTGTTATGTTAATCTAACTTTTACAACTATGGCTTCAATCATAATCCTGCTTTCGCTTTCATTTATTAATGGTTTCAGAGTTTTAGTCGACATTTCATATTTGTTTCCAACCAGTGGCGTACACACAACCCATGGGGCCCCGGTGCAAAACTGATCCATGGGGCCCACCCTCCCCGACAGACACACACACACACACACACATACATACAGAGACACATACATACAGACACACATACACACAGGACACATACATACAAACAGACAGGCAAACATACATACAGACACACACACATACATACAGACAGACACACACACTACAAACATACATACAAAGACACATACGTATAGACACACACACATACACACGACACACATACGTATAGACACACACACACACACAACACACATACATACATAAAAACAGATGGAACTAAATATCCTCATTCAAAACAAAAAAGAAAATTACTTTTCTTGAACGTGGATAAAAGCTGGATATATTTAAAGAGCAATTGACAGGTATACACCTATCTCAAACCAAAGAAAAAAAGGGGTTTAACGTGATCAGAGTGAATACAGATGCTAATCAGCTTATCTCTGACTAGAAATTAACTAAAGTTAACTAAAGCTACCCACGTTCAAGACAAGTAACTCTTTTTTGTTTTGAATGAGGATATTTTGTTCCATTTCATATCAAATAGGGGCTAAGCCCCAGACACCACTGGAGTGTCTCTCTGGTGATTATATTCAGGGTGAGAGGTTCTGCAGGAGCAAATAACTCCCAACTGAATATTTCTATATGTACATAAAAACAGACAGACACACATACATACATACATACATACATACAGACAGATAGACACAGACACACACAGACAGACACACACACATACATACAAAAAGACAAGCACACATACATACAGACAGACACATAAATACCTATACAGACAGACACACACACACACACACACACAAGACACACATACATACAAAGAAACATACATACATAAAAACAGACAGGCACACATACATACAGACAGATAGACACAGACACATACATACAGACAGACACACATACAGACAGGCACACATACAGACACACACAAGACACACATACATACAAAGACACACACACACACATACATACAAACAGACAGGCATACATACAGACAGATAGACACAGACACATACATACAAACAAACAAACACACACACACACACACACATAATATTAAGCCACCTCCTGTTTCCTTCCCTGGGTTCCAGTGGTGGCTCAGGTTGATGGGAGTCAGAGTTCCCACTCTGACTCCCTCTGCTTCCTCTGTCTGATAGCTGGGAGGAGTGACCGGGGCAGTTACTTCCTCCCAGCTTGTGATGATCTCACCCGATGGGCACCATAACATGCGGCCCCGGCGGTTTGCCGCGCGGGCCGGGGCCGCAAATGATGATGGCGGGCACCCGGTCAGAGGGCTCTGCAGGGCGGCCGGGCCCCCTGGAGTGACGGGCCCGGTCGCAGCTGCGACCGCTTTATGTACGCCAGTGTTTCCAACACAATTACAATCCACAAATGTCTTACCTGTTCTCTGCTGATAATGCCACCAAAGTAAAAAATCATTATCAAGTAAAAGCTGGACTTAACGTTTGTCATTATTCACATGCTCAGATTTATATGCCTTGAATGTGAGGTTAACGACAAACAAAATAGCAGTTTTGCAATTACGTTAACAGTAGTGATGATAATAAGGGATACGTGTGGAATTAAAGGACCACTATAGTGCCAGGAAAACAGACTAGTGGTCCTTTAATTCCATCACTACTGTTAACGTAATTGCAAAACTGCTATTTTGTTTGTCGTTAACCTCACATTCAAGGCATATAAATCTGAGCATGTGAATAATGACAAACGTTAAGTTTAATTGAAAACCAATTTGCAAAGGTTGGTTTCCAATTAGATTTGTTCAGCTGTCCCCAGGGCCGGCCTTAGGCCTTTGGGCACCCTGTGCGAAAAATCTTCACAGCGCCCCCATCCCCCCCCTTCCCACATACCCTGTCACACACACACATGCAGACAGCCACACGCAGACAGCCACACATACAGACATAGAAACATAGAATGTGACGGCAGATAAGAACCATTCGGCCCATCTAGTCTGCCCAGACAGCCACACATAGGCAGTCACACACACAGATGTGTAGAAAAACAGGAAATAGGGATACTGCTACAAGCTACAATATGAAAAACATACAGCACATAGTGATTTACAGTAAAATAAATACAACGCTGCAATAATGGTTGCACTCACAGAATTGAATGAATCCGCCTTGAAATCCACTTAGGGATTATACTGCACCGCTTCCACCGAGGAGGATGGCAGGTAATGGACAGGCTCAGGTAGCTCCAGAGGTAATTAGCTTCCAGATACAACAATTAGTCACACACACACAGAGGCAGACAGCCACACACAAACACACACGCAGACAGCCACACACAAACACACAGGCAGACAGCCACACACAAACACACACACAGACAGCCACACACAAAAACACAGGCAGACAGCTACACACAAACACACAGGCAGACAGCCACACACACACACACACAGGCAGACATAGAAACATCGAATGTGACGGCAGATAAGAACCATTCGGCCCATCTAGTCTGCCCAGACAGTCACACATAGGCACTCACACACACACACACACACACACACAAAGGCAGGCACACATACACAGGCAGACAGTCACACACACACACACACACAGGCAGACATAGAAACATAGAATGTGACGGCAGATAAGAACCATTCGGCCCATCTAGTCTGCCCAGACAGTCACACATAGGCATTCACACACACACACACACACACCCACACACACAGGCAGGCACACATACACAGGCAGACAGTCACACACACACACACACACAGGCAGATAGTCTCACACACAGGCAGACAGTCACACACACACACAGGCAGATAGTCTCAGACACAGGCAGACAGTCATACACACAGACACAGGCAGATAGTCTCAAACACAGGCAGACAGTCATACACACAGACACAGGCAGATAGTCTCACACACAGGCAGACAGTCACACACACAGGCAGACAGTCAAACACACAGACAGTCACACACACACACACAGGCAGACAATCACACACACACAGGCAGACAGTCACACACCGACAGTCACACACACAGACAGTCACACACACAGGCAGACAATCACACATAGTTACTGTGATGGGATTCCAGCATGGTCAAAATTTAGTAGGCCGAAATCTCCACATGGCATATGCTAATTAGTATCTGATTACAAACAGTTGGATGAGTCATCAGTATACTGAGCATGTGTGGAAGTGGATAGTACATTCCTTTGTCTGTAAATGCCATGTGGTCTTCCCATATAAGGTGATCCTGAATATCTTGTGTGCTGATTGGTCTGAGGAATATAGGAGGGGTTATACTGTATGGGAGGGGATATGCTGCTAACAAAAGGCCTCTGCACCATGCTTTCTGCCTCTCAGATATTCTTGGAACAGGAGTTCATCTGAGACCCGATTGGTGTGTAAATAAAAGACCTGTTACTTCCTGAAGACTTGTGTCCATATCTCTATATGTGGCTTTTGCGTTTTGTTCCTGTTATTCCTCCGGTAGCATTTTTGGCGCATTGGGTCCGGGAACCTCACCGCACGGAAGCTGGCGCAGAGATTTGAGACGGTAAATTTTTACCCACGTTCTCCACGGCAGCACCAATGAACTTCTGCATGGACCTCCTTTCGTCTCGGCACCACTGGCCTTTTGTCCAGGAGATCATCGGCTCCTGCGCAGTGAGTACCGGGGTGCCCCGTACTAAAAGGTAAGATTATACTATTAGATGGTAGGCCCACAAGGGGTTTGTATCTGAAACCGGTTATTGGACTGTCCCCTCCCTCTGGAGGGAAAAAGCGAAGGCGCACCGCTTATCTGGAAATTAGACGCTCTGATATAGGTGGTTTGGGTCAGGCTAAATCTTGGTGTAAATAGTTTATGCTGGACACCGGTGTCCTTTCTTGACTAGCGTGTCTAGGTGTAAATTTCGGTCGCTAGGTCGGGGAGGCCGGCGAGACTAAGCAGATTCTGGTGTACATTCCGTCTGCTAGTTCTCAACCTATCTTGGCTAAGTGTGCCCTGTTGTAAATTCAGCCACTAGACTATTGATAGAGTAGATAGACTAAATGGGTACTGTTGTAAATTCCACCCACTAGTTCGCTATATGTGGTGCTTGGGCAGCGTAGACTAACCGAATCCTGGTGTAAATAGTTCGATAGTTCTCGAGGTGCTGGCCAATTAGAGTAGTTGGGTTTGCTGTAAATGTTGTAAAATACGCTGTAATTGGTGAAATGTATGTCCTACTAGAAAGCTTGAGTTCTGCCGTTTAGCGGACGTGTAAATTGTGTGTATAGTGTAAAATAGCGCACGGTACCATAACCACTGACATGTACCATAACCACTGACTTGTACCATAACTACTGATATTACGTGAAAAATACTAAAATTACTGTTTAACCTTGCATGTGTACTAACTGATATTGTAACTTTAAAATCATAATTGTCTAAACTGTATAATAGTTACTAACTGTACCATAACCACTGACTGTAGAGACGAAATTGTTGAAATGTTATGCTATCGGTTAGTTAATGTTGATTAATTGTGTGGACAATTGTATGACTTGCTTAATAGTTGCATTGATTAGTATATAGTGTTTGGTGAGTCTTGATTTTACTTGTGTGTGCGACGTCGTGATATTGTTGAGCATGTGAGGATCCTGTGTGTGCGTGCACGTGTGTGCTGGTGATAAGGAGATTGGTGTGACTGTTGAAACTGTGTGTATGTTTGTACAGCTTTTGAATCAGACGTTCTGTTGAAATCATCTTCTGATTCACAAAGCTGTTGGTCCTTTGTCTTGTATGTTAAATAAAAAAATAAATAAACATTTGACTACACTGTGTAGTAGGGAGTGGCCTGTCCTGGTGGCCTAGTAGGCCGGAATTCTATGATCAGTTTCCATATATTGACTGTTGGAAACCGATTGTTGAAAAACTGCCTTGGTGAATTAAACTGTGTCATGATTAACAATGGAGCCACATGGTGGTCAGAACTAAGGCCTTAATTCCACCTAGTTTGGACACCTCCCCCCCTTGCATCTGATTACCATTCATCCTCCAGAGCTAAAGGAGGTGCGGCTGGTGTAGCCACTCCCCCCACTCTTCCTCCCAAGCTAAAACTGGTGTAACTGGTATTTGCACTCCCCCTGCTCTATTGTCCCCGCCTACCCACATACCTATATGTTCTTTTGTTTCAAACTCTTGTATTTCTGTACCAACCCCCACTGATTCTTTGTAATTTGAACTGACTTCCTTTTTGGTAGGAGTGTATTTTAGCATTGAATTTTATTAACAATTAAAATTGTGAGGAGAATTCTTAATAACAGTAACTGTGTCTATTGGATCAGATAATTCTCAGCAATGACATTGTACCATAATCATTGAAATAGCACTAAAACTACTGAACACTGTGTGCCTTCAGTGATAGTCTAAAATACAACTGGAAGAAATGATCAATGGTATAAGATGCTAGAGTACACTTTTATCCCTTTTTAGTTACTGGATGGGCCCCTCCCAGCTTTGTCCAAAATATCCCCTTTACTAAAATACAAACTGAGTTGTTTAATTTACCATAGAACTAAAGCTTTACTCAAGCCTAGATATCAGGGTGAACAGTGATTAAAATAAGCAATAATAAAATAAGCACATAATTAAAGTCTATCTGCTTCATTAGACTTTAGGGAGGCACTCTAGGGCCACCTACTGGCCATCTTCGGGAGTTACATTGATATTACATTGTTTAATCATCTTTAACTCTATACTGGCATACAACAGACAGAAGTAGGATTGCTTACCCTATTTTAATATATTTATTGCTATAAGGTTTTATTTTATGTATAAATATATTAAAAGTTAAGTTTTATTATTAGACCCATAAAGATTATTTTGATACAATTACTTACCCGCTGGTGACACCTACTGGTAGGTTTTTGGTTTAACACTTTTTTTATTTTTTCCATCTGCCAAATGCTGACTAGTAAAATTAGCTCACCCCCTTCCACCTATCTTACTACTCCCACATCGGAACCTATTACTGAGCAGCCTTGCCGAAGTCCCATAGTAACCCGACAATTGAATGGCACCCTTCCATCCCGACATTGCCAAATGCCCCTCCGACTTACACCAGGCCCAACACACGTTGACGAAAATGGCCAAATACAATGGGCAGATCCTGTGTTTGTCTATGTCCCCTTCACCACAACTGACCTGTTCAATTGGAAGACCCATAACTCCCCGTACACCGATAAACCTCAAGCCATGATTGACTTGGTCACCTCTATTATACAGACCCACAATCCCACCTGGGCTGATTGTCAGCAATTATTACTGACCTTTGGAACATAAATGGCGCTGACATGATCCATCTAAAGGCCTATCAACAAGCCATTATTACTGGCATGAAGGCAGGAGGGGAAAAGGCAATTAACATGTCCAGGACGGCTGAAGTGTTACAAAAAGCTAATGATTCACCAGTGCTTTTTATGAGAGACTGCTTTAGTCAAATAGATTGTACACTCCTTTCAATCCTGAAGCCCCTGAAAACTTCCAAATGATTAACAGCATTTGTCAGCCAGGCCCAGAGCGATATTAAGAGAAAGCTACAAAAATTAGAGGGATTTGCAGGGATATCCATATCACAGCTAATGGAGGTTGCAAATAAGGTGTATATGAATAGGGAAACAGACAAAGCGTGAGGAGGAACGTAAAATGAGGAAGAAAATAGACAAGTTAGTGGTAGCTATTTAAGGTGTAGCTAGAGAAGGAGGGGAGATGAATAGAGGAGTTGAGAATAGGATGAGCAGGGTACCACTAGGTAGAGATCAAAGTGCATATTGTAGAGAGGAAGGGCATTGGAAGAGTGACTGTCCACAGAGGGCATATATTGCAGGTGGTAGACAAGAAGAGAGAAGAGGGCGAGGTGGTTATGGTAGCAGCTATAGAGGACGAGGTAGAGGAAGTTTTGTAGGGAATAATGGGAATAGCAGAGGGAGTGTTCAGGGAGGTAGATATTATCCCCCTACCCAGAGACCTAGGGATAGGGAAGATAGAGATTTTGTAGGTCTGGCTGACACTGTCATGTCACCCCTTGGCTGAGTGGAGCCTATTGCCGATGTATCAATAGGGGGAAAGAGAAGTCTTTTCATGATAGAGGTGCTGAACATTCTGTGGTGACCAAGTTGGTAGCTCCTCCTTCTGAGAAGACTATAACTGTGATAGGAGCTGCTGGGAAAAGCGCTGCTAGACCGATTCTCAGGCGTTGTACATGCATTTTAGGAGGCCATTTTGTTAAGCACCAGTTCCTATACATGTCGGAGTGTCCAGTTTAACATCTAGGATGAGATCTATTGCCAAAGCTTCAAGCTCAGATAACATTTCTGCCCAATGGATCAACATCCCTGCAGTTTAATAAATCACCTGGCATAATAGCGGTATTGGTGCCAAAAGAAGAAGAATGGCGTTTCTATTCTGTAATAATAAAAGCAAACCCAAAGAGTGATGGATCTGTATTTGACATTCCAGGAGTATGGGCAGAAAATAATTCTCCAGGACTTGCTCGTAACATCCCACCGATACATATTGAGTTAAAGCTTGGGGGTGTATCCTGTTAGCCTTTGTATGTTGTTCTTTTATCTACCCCAACAGCTGTAAAGGTGGCGGAAGTGACTCCGTGGATTCATCACTCTAGGATTAAACCAACGACAGATTCCTGGCAAGCTACTCCAGATCGTGAGAATCCTTGCAAGATCCGGGTGAAGCGCATTACCCAGTCGAATTGAGCGTGACTTGAGAAGTATGAGGTGATTTTAGAAGAATCGTGGTTGAAAGTAACATCAGAGATCAGCAAGTAGGTGTTTTGACGACCATAATAAAGCCTGACCACCTGTCTACGTTTCATAGCCAGAGTGTCTCAAAGGGACCTCTGTGAAGGTGAGGATCAGGAGTACAACAATCCTTGCAGCCCTCACAAGCGGGAAGCTGAGGTGCCATCGCACGGTCGAAGAATAAAGATGAGGACCGCAAGAATAATGTGTAGGTGTAGGTACTTAGATACTGATTATAGTGTGTGTCAATCGATATCAGGTGACCCCAAGTGTTTCGATCCCCAATTCCAACCCCGTACAATTTGGTTGGTAATTCGAAACAGTAACTCCCAGGGGACCTAATAAATAGGACTGTGATAAGCACCATACATTCTACGGGTATTCTATTATTTGATGCATGTAAGGTGATTTCGGGTAGCAGAGAACCCTGGAATGTATGTGGAAATCTTAAATGGGATCGGACTTATGGGTTCAATGATAAGTATTTATGCCCTAGCAAAAGATCTACTGATCCTGACTGCCCAAATAGAGACCTTAACTGCTGCCCATATTGGTCATGTGTAGGTTGGGTGACCTGGGGAAAGACAGTAGATCAAGATATGATTATCCAAAGGTTGCCCACTGCACCATATTGTAAAACTATGGAGTGTAACCCTGTGCATATGACCATTTCCAATCCACAACACTTCATTGACAAGTTTGGGAATCTCTTTGGGTTTCAAAATGCATGGTACAAGAGTAGATCCAGGGACGATAATATATGTAGGTCTTGAAACTGAGACGACAGCTTCTCAAACTCATCAGGTTTTTCATTCCTTCTATGAGGAGATGAGTGTTGAGGATAACATTCCCCATAATGTTAAGAACCTATTTATTGATTTGGCTGAGAGTATTGCAGGTAGTGTTAATATAACTAACTGCTTTGTATGTGGAGGTACTAATATGGGAGACCAATGGCCATGGGAGGCAAGAGAGGTTTGGTACCTTGGTTCTGGGACAGATGAACAACAGATGCTTTCTCAGTCTGATCATCAAGTAAGTACTAGAGATAAATCAGAATGGCGTTTAAAAACATCTATCATAGGCCATGTATGTTTAGCTAGAAGAGGGCCACTGTATAATACATCTGTTGGAGAGTTAACCTGCTTAGGACTATAATGCTGATACAAAAGATACTACTTGATGGTCAGCTTCAAATGTCTCGGAACCTACTAATCCTTTTGCCAATTACACCAATTTAAAAGAGGTATGGTTTGACTTATCTGCTACATCCAATTGGAAAACCCCAGCGAATTTGTACTGGATCTGTGGTAAGAAAGCATATTTAGAGTTACCACAGGATTGGGAAGGAGCATGTGTGCTAGGTATGCTCAAACCATCCTTCTTGTTGCCAATTGAAACAGGAGAGACCTTGGGAGTTAAGGTATATGATGTGAATCATAAAAAGAAGTGAGCAACATTGAATATAGGTAGTTGGGAAGATGAGTGACCTCCCCAATGTATCATAAATTACTATGGACCTGCTACCTGGGCTGAAGATGGTACTTATGGATATAGAACCCCAATATATATGCTCAACCGTATTATAAGACTACAGGCGGTGGTTGAGATCATAACCAACGAGACAGCAGAAGCCCTCAACCTCTTAGCTAAGCAGAATACCCGAATGAGATCCGCCATTTACCAAAATAGGCTAGCCCTTGATTACTTACTGGCAATAGAGGGAGGTGTATGCAGAAAGTTTAACCGCCCACAGGGTTTTGTGGAACAGCAAATCAAACACGTATAATACAGTAAAACACTCCCATTCATTCCCACAAAATCCTCCCCTCTGCCTGTGATTTAACAGTTACAAAAGGCAGATTGTAACAAGATGTATAAATCATTGTTTAGTGAATAGACTCTAAAGTGTTTACTTGCCTGTTCTTATTAAAGAGAGACAGGCCAAGACATTTAGTGGAAAATGTCTGAGGACCTGGGAAAACATTTTAGGAAACAGAGACAGACTGGGGAGAAATTTATGGAACAGAGATAGACCGTTGTGACTGGGAAAATATTGAGGGGGGGAAACAGACTTAAGATACATTTAGGGAAAAGAGACGCACAGAGGACACATTTAGGTAAAGCAGATGCACCGGTGAGAAATTTAGGGAAAGGAAACCAACCAGAGAAACAATTGGGTAAATGATAGAGAGATTGTTGAGGTATTTAATAAACACAGACAAACTAGTTGACATTTTAGGTGAGACAATGAGCAGACATTTAGGAAATGAAAGAGACACACTGCCCAATATAAACATACACATCCAGTACATGCATCTACACACACATACCATTCCCAATACACACACACCCACACACAATCAACCATACACACACTGCCCAATACATCCATCCATACATGCACACTGCCTAATAATACAATCAACCACACACATACACTCAGGGCAGGTGCTAGACAATTTTGCACCCTAGGCAAGACCAGCTACTTGCATCCTCTGAAACAGTAAATGCCAACTTTGTGTGTGTCTTTATACCCCCAGCTCCTTTGTGTGTCTTTTTCTCATCCAACCCCTTTGTGTAACTCCTTTTCACCTTCCCCAGCCCCGCATCTTTATGTGTCTCTCTCTCCCCCTCTGTGTGTCTCTTCTCCCCGGACCCATTTGTGTCTCTCCGCCCCAACCCCTATGTGTGTCTCTTTTGACCTTCCCAAGCCCCTCGGTGTGTGTCATTGTACCCTTCCCCAGTCCCACTTTAAATTTTACTGTTCCCTTGCCCAGCCCCTATAAGTGCCTCTCGTCGTCCCATTACCCAGCTCCTTTGAGTGTCTCTGGGTCACCTTCCCCAGTGCCTCTATGTGTGTCGCTCTCCCCTTCCCCAGCCCTTCTGTTTGTGTAATTTTCACCTTCCCCAGTCCCTCTGTGTGGGCCCCCCAGTCCCTTTTCTGTATCTTTTTCTCTTTTTCACTGCTCATCATCCCTGTGTAACGTGGGTGAGTGGACCGCGGGGAGAGGATATTCTGTATCATCTACCCTGTCTGACAGGAAGCTGTTGCACCCAGCGAGCACTTCCTGTCCAAGGTTTAAAACGTTAAGTGGCATATGGAATCCAGGCTTAGTAGATTTAGGGTTATTGAGTTTTGGGTTAGAGTTACAGTTGAGGGGTTTAGTAAAATTACAGCTAGGGAGTTTAGGGTTACAAGAATTATTATGAGAGGATTTATGGTTAGGATTGTGGGGTGGAGAAACGGGATTACTTGGTTTTGAGTTAGGAGAATTAGGGTATACAAGTGATGCTAAAAATATAGCAATTATATGTCAAACAGCTGAGATCTATTTTAGTGAAGGTACATTGTATTAGGGAGGTGGACATAGAATTCTATAAACTGCTGATCCTTGACTACAGTGGCAGAAGTATGTCCAGTTCCCTATTTATCCTTTGAAGTTAAAATACTACAGCAGTGTTTTTATTCCAGCATTCATGCACTGTATAGACCAATATTTATCAATCAATGTGACTATTGGAAATGGATTAATCCTGGAACGTAAGGATACACAAGAACTGTGATAAGAAGCATTATACTAAACTATGTCATGTTAATCTCCCTTCACTCCACAACTGTGTGATATGTATGCACGTGCATGATCCCTCTATTATTTTGAACGGTCAGGCACTAAAGTGTTAATCCTTGCACCATCCTACATTCTTTGTATATGTCAGTAACAATATCTGGGAACATTTTCTGAATTTTTGGAGTTTTGTAATATTGTTTAAACATATGTGTTTCATTAGTTTCAACAATGGGTGAATGAATGAGAAATTAAGCCTTAACTCTTTATCCTGTAATTGTATGTCTTAGTGTTTTGCTCCATTTAGAAAATAGTAAAAAATTGTATATATTACTAAAGAAAGATTATTCCTGTACTATAAATATTTGATGCTGTGTTGAATTGTAGCCTTCCACATTCTAGAATAGGTTAAAACTCAAAGTCTCCTATTGAGACATAATCTATGTCTTAATGAGAGGGCACTCTGCCATAGCACATACCAAAAACAAGCCAACATTTTCATGGCATGAGTGCCAAGGTATTCGCTTTGTTGAACAAAATAATTGCGCTCTTGGATTGCTTTTTGCTTTCCTCCATTTCACCTGACCTACCAGCATCGTTCTCTTAGTATGACAATCTGTTTAGTAAACCTTTTTTTATCTTTGTCATTGTTTGTGCGGTGACCGAAAAGTAGGCTTTTGGCATTAAATAGCATGCAGGTATTCCCATAATGCCAATACTTATATATGTCAACAAGTCAACTCATCTGAGCCTGCATGAGAAAAGCAACCAAACTGCTTTGTTTGGCACTGAACAAGCAGAACTCTGACAGATACAACACAGCTTGGCATGGTAGCATGAAACAATATTTAAATAATATGGAACTTAATTCTGACACACTGAGCTGATGCTATGCTACTACAGAAGGCTAACTTTAGGACATAAATGGGTAAAATACAATTTTTTTTTATTTGATTGCATGGAACATAGTAATATCAATGAAAAAAGGCTCACAACAAAAATGAATCAACTCTTCTCAAATGTTATGTTTGTAGCAAGAAGGCGTAATTTGGTTTGTGGAACGTTGAAAGAATACTGTACACCGTTTCTCGACCCTCTACAGTCAGGTAAGTGCAGTTTTAGCTTTTTTCTATTGCATGTTTTTTTCTTTGATATTATTTTGACACTTTACGTTTTTCTATATGTTGTACACAGTGGCGTACACATGGCCCATAGGGCCCCGGTGCAAAAATTGATCCCGGGTCGGGGTCGCAACACATGGTGGCGGGCACCTGGTCGCAGGGGTTGCAGGGCTGCGACCCCGCGACCGCGGTATGCACACACACTTAAAGGACCACTACAGACACCCAGATCACATCAGCTCAATGAAGTGGTCTGGGTGCCAGGTCCCTCTAGTTCTAACCCTGCAGCTGAAAACATAGCAGTTTCAGAGAAACGGCTATGTTTCACTGAGGGTTAATCCAGCCTCTGGTGGCTGTCTCATTGACAGCTGCTAGAGGAGCTTCCGCGATTCTCACTGTGAAAATCACAGTGAGAAGACACTGAACGTCCATAGGAAAGCATTGAGTAATGCTTTCCTATGGGCGGTTTAAATGCGCAGCGGCGCCTCTTGCCGCGCATGTGCATTTCGGAGCTGAGTGGCGGACACTGGTGAGTCCGACGCTGGAGAAAGGTAAATGCTGAAGACACACACACACTCTCACGAACAGACGCATACACACTAGCTAACAGACACACACATTTACTGACAGAGACACACTCAGCGACAGACATACATACACACTCACTTACAAAACATACACTTTCACTGAAAACACACACTCACTAACAGACATCAAACACACTCAGTAACAGACACACACAGTAACACACTCACTAGCAGACACACACCCAATAACAGACACATTCACTGACACACACACTAACACACGCACTAACACAAACAAACACTGACACACTCACACACACACTAACACACACACACACACACTAACACACACACACACACATACACTAGCACACTAACACACACACACATACACTAACACACACACACACACTAACACACACACACTCCTACTTTACACACATACACTAACACACACTAACACACACACACACACACACACACACACACACTACTTACACACACACACTACACATACACTACTTACACACACACTCCTAACACACTCTAACACACTAACACACACTAACACACACATACACTAACACACACTAACACACACATACACTAACACACACATACACTAACACACACACACACACACCCTAACACACACTAACACACACATACACTAACACACACATACACTAACACACACACACTCTAACACACACACTAACACACACACACACTCTAACACACACTAACACACATACACTAACACACACATTTTTTTTTTCACATTTAATCCCCCCAGCCTCCTTACCTTTTGGAGTGCTGGGGGGATTCCCTGGGGTCCAGTGGTGCTGCTGGGCTCCTGGGCGGCAGGTCACTGGGTGGGCAGGCTGCCTGGCCGGCTGGTGCGCGACGGAGCCCTTTCCCCTGTGTGCTTCCTCTTCAGCTCCCTCGCGCGCCGCTTAGGGATGCCGGCGCCGGAAGATGATGTCATCTTCCGGCTCCGGCATCAGTGCGGTGCGCGAGGGAGCTGAAGAGGAAGCACACAGGGGAAAGTGCTCCCTCACGCGCCCACCTGCCCGCTGGGGTCAGCAGGGCCAGCCTCGGGGGGGCCTGAGGTGGCCACCTCCTGGGCCCCCCAGGAGAAGAGGCTGGCCCAGTGGGTACATACCGGGTCTCAGGGGCGGCCGGGCCCCCTGGTGGGCCGCGCCCGGTCGCAGCCGCGACCCCTGCGTCCATGGTATGTACGCCACTGGTTATATATATATATATATATATATATATACATCATTTTGTGTGAATATATAATACATGTAATATTTGTTTGGTATTTAGGAGTTCAGCTCTGTATGATTACACTCAGATTTTTTTATGCATTTGTACATTACTATCAGTTTTGTTTTTGATTATTAGACTTGTGCACAAATCCTGTTCGGCAAATTGCAAACTAATTAATTTGCTCATCCAGCTCTTAACTGGCATTTGATTTGTTCACCACAGCTGAGTGGATTTTCTGCACAAGTCTATTGATTATTTGTATTTGAATGTACAAAACATTTGTACATTTCAGTTTTAATTTATTGCTGGTATTCACCAGAAGAGGTATTGTTCCACTTGGGCTGTAGATGGTATAATTCACAGTATATTGTCATAATTCAGTCAGTGATAAAGACTGATCACATAGGACATAACATCTTTTGAAGGTGTCATTGTACATATTTTCGTACCATAAACTGCACATTGTGAATACAGCCTTTAATATACTATGGGTACAATGTCAATTATAAACAGCAGAAATATTTTCAATGTGAAGTAACTATGGTATGGAAAAGTGGAATAGTGACATTCGGTGATCAGCCATTTTGAACGACCAAAATATCTGGAGGGATTTCAAATGAGGTAAGATATAAGAGCACGCCCCACAATTGTCTTGATTGCAGGTTCTTGTCTTGTTATCTTGAGAAAATCACGATGACATTGATTGACATTGACTTGTGCAAGTACGTTTGGCAACATAGCTAAAAACAACAACACACCATAACATCACAGGATAGAGATAGAGAGTGGGCTCTTGGGATAAGGAGCTAAGGGGGCAAAGGGCGGGGAGAAGAATATTGGAATATGGGGGAAATTAAGGGGCAGATACACCATACATTGTAATCACATAATTAAATCCAGAGTGGGAAAGCCAGCTATTTCATGTAAATGGTAGTTCATACTTAAAGTGAAGTCCAATAGTGCTTGTCCAGGACACACATGGCCATTAAAGGACCACTATAGTGCCAGGAAAACATACTTGTTTTCCTGGCACTATAGTGCCCTGAGGGTGCCCCCACCCTCAGGGACCCCCTCCCGCCCAGCTCTGGAAGGGGGAAAGGGGTAATAACTTACCTTTTTCCAGCGCTGGGTGGAGAGCTCTCCTCCTCCTCTCCGCCTCCGATCCGCCCCGCCGGCTGAATGCGCATGCGCGGCAAGAGCTGCGCGCGCATTCAGCCCGTCGCATAGGAAAGCATTTACAATACTTTCCTATGGACGCTTGCGTGCTCTCACTGTGAAAATCACAGTGAGAAGCACGCAAGCGCCTCTAGTGGCTGTCAATGAGACAGCCACTAGAGGATTAGGGGAAAGGCTTAACCCATTCATAATTATAGCAGTTTCTCTGAAACTGCTATAATTATGAAAAAATGGGTTAACCCTAGAAGGACCTGGCACCCAGACCACTTCATTAAGCTGAAGTGGTCTGGGTGCCTAGAGTGGTCCTTTAAGTTAGATTATAGACAAATTTATAGATAATACAGAGGAGTCCAAAGAAGTGATGTCTGGTCGGGTTCTTCCCCAATCCTTTGATAATATTATTCTATAGTGAATAAGACTAATTTATTTTGAAACCAATTAAGTTAAGAAAGAGTCCCTGTATTATGGAAAGGTGTATTGTATTACACTGTTCATAAATAACCTGCAAATCAGAGAAAGATATACTGTAGAGATACAGAGATGGAGAAAGGATAGATATGAAGACTCGGATCAAATAGTGAGAGAAGGTAAAGTCTGTGGGAGGTAAAGGAGACTATAGAAAAAAATGGGAAGAGAGTTTAAACATGCTTGGAGGTGGAGGAAATGGAACTAGAAGGAGATGTGTTGCATTTAGGGAGAAGGGTTAAGATGAGAGGGAAGTTGCACAAAACAGATGAAGGCTGTGGCTTTCAAAGAGTTTGAGATGACTGAGGTTTAGGTAGGGACATAAACCTCAGTCATCTCAAACTGGAGTAAAGCAGAGAGAGGGAAAAGGATACAAATTAAATGGAAGGCTTTACAAAAGAGAAGAGAGAATGACAAGTGTTATATAAAGAGGATGTTCGAATGGGGGGAGAACTAATAAAGGAAGTGGAGTGAGGGAAGGTAGACTTGAGACATCAGAGGGGAGGTGCTAAAATAAAAACAGGATTAGACAAATTGATGAGCAGGTGAAATGGATGCTATGGGTTCTGGGAGGATGAATGAAATAAACATTGTGATTATAAAGAAGGGACAGATAGGGTAATAAAAAGAGATGTTAGGAGTATGTAGCGAGAGATTGCAGCTGTATTTGTCCAGTAACAAGGATGTAAAAAAAAAACAGATATCTTTTTTCTTGGTCTAACAGAATTTTGAAAGGACAAGCTTTCAGGAGAACGTTCCTTTCTCAAGTTTAACCCCTTCAGGACCAAACATCTGGAATAAAAGGGAATCATGACATGTCACACATGCCATGTGTCCTTAAGGGGTTTAAGTATTTCTGTGCAAAAACGACACACACATAATTCAAAGTTGATTTGTGATACAGGGGTTAGAGTGATATAAGTGCATATTAGACACATCTCTGATAGAAAATAGACACCATTCTCACAGAGGGTTGTAAATATCGTGTGTGAAGATCACAGAGTAAGGGAGGAGAGTGAGAATAAAAGCAGTGCAGGAGATGGTGCTAGAGGGGGTAGAGTTAAAAAAAATAATTACACAGATTAAGAATGCATGAATTCACATCCAAGAATCCAGAATTTGCATAAAGGCCTGTATACAACCTAAGCATATATATATATATATATATATATATATACACACACACACACACACAATATACATACATACACACACACATATATATATATATATGTATACAATATACATACATACACACACACACATATATATATATATATATATGTACATACACACACGCACACACAAACATCCCACAAACAGAGGTACTAGATAGACGTATAACTGGGCCTTAGAGTGACCGGACTAAACGTTAATAAAGCTTAAGACAGAGTGATGAATAGCCTATGTCAGAGAAAGAGAAATGCAGATAAATGGAATAACAAGCCGAGTCAGGATAACAGAAATATTCAAGGTCAGAAACAAGCCGGTTCAGGATATTGCTCAGATATTGCTCATAAATGCTTTAAACTTGAGAAAAAGAGGCTCTCCCAAAGGGAGGGAGGGGGTGACAGAGTGAGGGAGGTACTGGGTGACTTGTGACAGAGTGTGGGAGGGAGGGGGTGACTGGTTGCAGAGTGTGGGAGGGAAGGGGTGACCGGTTTGCATAGTGTAAGGGGGGGGATGACTGGTGGTAGATTGAGGGAGGGGGTAACTGGTGGCAGAGGGAGGGAGGGGGTGACTGGTGACAGTGAATATGGGGGTGACTGGTGGCAGAGTAAGTGAGGGGGTGCCTGGTGGCAGAGTGTGGGAAGGAGGGGGTTTCTGGTGGCAGAGTGAGGAGGTGACACAGTGAGGGAGGAGGTGATAGTCTGAGGGAGGGGATGACAGTGTGAGGGAGTGGCTGGTGACAGAGTGAGGGAGGGTGTAACTGGTGGCAAAGGGAGGGGTCACTGGTGACTGAATGAGGGAGGGGGTGACTGGTGGCAGAGTGAGGGAAGGGGTTACTGGTGGTAGAGTGAGGGATGGGGTGACTGGTGGTAGAGTGTGAGAGGGAAGGAGTGACTGGTTGCAGAGTAAGGGGGTGACTGGTGGTAGAGTGAGTGAGGGGGTGACTAGTGGCAGAGGGAGGCAGCGGGTGACTGTAGGGGGGTTAGAAATACCTTTTTTTTTCTGGTGGTCCAGTGGCCTTCCTATACGGTCTGCAGCTCCTCCGGGTGCAGAGCTGCAGACTAGACATCTGCAATTTGTTTCGTTCCGAATGTTAATTCTGCCGTATTTTGGGCAATTCGGACATTCGGATACTTTCGAATGTCTGAATAGCTGAATTGCCGAAGTGCCGAATTGCTGAATTTCTGAAATTTCCAAAGCACAGTATTGCCGTAGTACTAATATACCTACCCATTGGAAGAATGAAGGATGTTACACTGTATACAAGTTTAAATAAAAAGTATACAAACATATCCAGGATTCAGCTGTAAGCATTTGCAACACTTACAACAATCAAGTAACACACATTCATGTAAAGTGTACTTAGCCAGTCAAAGGAATGACAGGAATGAATAAGTAGATAACTCCCTAATTCCCACTGTATTAGGGAGCTATCTACTAAATGGCTGAAAGACCTAAATTGGTCTTTCAGACAAATTTACTAATACTAAGTAAGGATTACTTAGTATTAGTAAATTATGTCCCTAAACAGTGTAAAAAAAAAACTCACTGTAAAAAACTGGGTCCCCTCCCTTAAAGTAAAATAGGGGGGGGGACCTATTGTCATGAGCGGCAGGTGTGGGCCCTAAATACCAATAAGAGGGGGGACCTATTGTCCTCCCCCTGGCCCCCACCCCTGAACGGTGGGTGGGGGCCCTAAATTAGAAGAGGGGGGGGGCCTATTGTCCTCCCCCTGGCCCCCAGCCATATATATATAGGGAGGTTGGAGGTTTGTGGAAAAATCGCTGTAGGTCAAGAAGTGAAGGTTTTAACCTACATCGATTCTCCACCAATCTCCAAGCTATCCTTTTGCCTATCTCAAACCTCACCAGCCTTAACTCTCCAACCTCCCTCTACAACTCCACCCTCTCCTCTCAAATAGATATCATGCCACCTCTTTCACTGAAATGTAAAAAGGGCCCCCATTTGCAACTTTGGCACACCAACCTGACTCAGTACCTCCAAAAAGTCTCATTCTGCGTCTGACGTCCTCCACTATAAATGTATGACATGCTCATACAGCTTGACTCTTTACTCTGCAAAAGAAAACGACTTCAATACATTCATAACCATGCTCTCCCGTGAACCCAAACGCATCTTTCACACTTTTAACTCTCTTCTGTTCCCTGTTGCTGCTCCTCCTCCTCCTAATTTCTTCTAAGTTCCTCGCAACAAACTTTGCAACTAATTTCTCTGATATTTTTACAATCAGGGACGAGATCTCTCATCTCTCTCCTTCCCCTTTCAATACTTCCCCCTCTACTGTGCTATGCTCACTCGCACCAGCTACTGCAGGATAGGTTTCTGCTCCGGTCCTCCTTCACCACAGCTATGTTCCTTGGTCTTACCCACTGTGATGAATGACTAAGGGAATTTGTTACCTCATATTTATACCCCTGTGAAACAGGAAGTGGTTGAACAATTTCCTGTTACTAGTCACCCAGATGTATAAATAAATGTAAAATACCAATGGGAGTATACTTCAAGTATATTTTTCTCATATAAATGCCTAGGGGTGCCAATAATTTGCCACACGTTTATACAGTGAGGGAAAAAAAGTACTTCATCCCCTGGTGATTTTGAACGTTTACCCGCTGACAAAGAAACGATCAGTCTGTAATTTTAATGATACGTGTATTTTAACAGTGAGAGACAGAATAACAACAAACAAAATCCAGAAAAACGCATGTCAAAAAGTTATAAATTGATTTGCATATCAATGAGTGAAAAAAGGATTTGACCCCTTCGACTTAGTGCCTGGTGGCAAAACCCTTGTTGACAATCACAGGTCAGACGTTTCTTGTAGTTGGCCACCAGGTTTGCACACATCTCAGGAGAGATTTTGTCCCACTCTTCTTTGCAGATCCTCTCCAAGTCATTAAGGTTTCGAAGCTGATGTTTGGCAACTCTAACCTTCAGCTCCCTCCATAGATTTTCTATGGGATTAAGGTCAGGAGACGGGCCAGGCCACTCTAGGACCTTAATATGCTTCTTCTTGAGCCACTCCTTTATTGCCTTGGCTGTGTGTTTTGGGTCATTGTCATGCTGGAATACCCATCCACGACCCATTGTAAATGCCCTGACTGATGGAAGGAGGTTCTCACTCAAGATTTGACGGTACATGGCCCGTTCATTGTCGCTTTGATACGGTGCAGTTGTTCTGTCCCCTTCGCAGAAAAACACCACCAAAGAATAATGTTTCCACCTCCATGTTTGATGGTGGGAATGGTGTTATTAGGGTCATAGGCAGCATTCCCCCTCCTCCAAACATGGCGAGTTGGGTTGATACCAAAGAGCTTGATTTTGGTCTCATCTGACCACAACACTTTCACCTAGTTCTCCTCTGAATCATTCAGATGTTCATTGGCAAACTTTAGATGGCCTGTACATGTGCTTTCTTGAGCAGGAGAACCTTGCAGGTGCTGCAGGATATCAGACCTTTATGGGTTAGTATGTTAAAAATTGTTTTCTTGGTGACTATGGTCCCAGCTGCCTTGAGATCATTAACAAGATCCTCCCGTACAGTTCTGGGCTGATTCCTCACTGTTCTCATGATCATTGAAACTTCACAAAGTGAGATCTTGAATGGAGCACCAGACCGAGCAGTCTGACAGTTATTTTGTGTTTCTTCCATTTGCGAATAATCACACCAACTGTTGTCACCTTCTCCTTGTACAGCTCTTTGGTCTTGGCCATGGTGGAGAGTTTGGAATCTGATTGATTGATTGCTTCCGTGGACAGGTGTCTTTTATACAGGTAACGAGCTGAGATTAGGAGCACTCCCTTTAAGAGACTACATTACCTGTATAAAAGACACCTGGAAACCAGAAATCTTGCTGATTGATAGGGGATCAAATACTTATTTCACTCATTGACATGCAAATCAATTTATAACTTTTTTGGCATGCATTTTTCGGGAGGGGGGAGGGGGGAGTTGTGCTATTCTTTCTATCACTGTTAAAATACACCTACCATTAAAATAATAGACTGATCATTTCTTTGTCAGTGAACAAACGTTTAAAATCAGCAGGGGATCAAATACTTTTTTCCCCACACTTTTTTAAAATATTGTCCTTAAACATATTGAAGGTGAGTTGCTGTGGAAAATGATTTCATACCAGTTATAGACTACAGGCCTTGCTGCACTGATTATCAATGTCAAGGATCAGATTTACAATAAAAACTATTCTGAAAGTGTATGTTATGTCCTGCCCTTATGTCAACCAGTCACTGCTTTGGTCCTCTTCAACACATAAATGCTATGAAAATGAACAGTATGGCCTTTTGATGGCCTTTTCTGACTTGTTTCTGCCTGCATCACAGCATCTTTAATTCTGCCTACTGAAATAAAATGGCATCAAAATGTAAGCAAGGGTCATCGCACAACAACAAGTGTTTGCTGCCACCATCTGGAAGAGATCTGACCTTATACAGATCTGTCGTCTAACTCTTTTATAAGGTGAAAAGGCGACACATACACTATATAGACAAATGTATTGGGACACCTGACCATTACACCAATAGGGACTTTTCTGACATTGCGTTGGTCCCATCTTTGCAGTTATAACAGCTTCCACTCTTCTGGGAAGGCTTTCCACAAGATTTTAGAGTGTTTTTGTAAGACTTTCTATTCATCCAGTGGAGCATTTGTGACGTCAGGCACTGATGTTGGACGAGAAGGCCTGGTTTGCAATCTTTGTTCCAGTTAATCACAAAGGTGTTGAGGCCAATCACGTTCTTCCACATAACAATCATTCAATCATGTGTTTACGGTTATGCTTTGGGTCATGGTGGAATGAAAAATGGCTTACCCCAAACTGTGATCACAAAGTGGAAGCATAGCATTGTCCAACATGTCTTGGCGTGCGGAAGGATTAAAATTTCCCTTCACTGGAAGAAGCCTAGTCCAACCACTGAAAAACCGCCCCATACCATTATCCCTATTACACCACACTTTACATTTGGCACAATGCAGTCAGGTAGGTTATGTTCTCCTGGTATCTGCCAAACCATGACTCGCACATCAGACTGCCAAACAGAGAAGTGTGATTTGTCACTACACAGATCACATTTCCACTGCAGAGTCCACTGGCAGCGTGCTTTACACCACTGGATCAGATGCTTGGCTTTGTATTTGGTGATGTGAGACTTGCATGCAGCTGCTTGGTCATGGAAACCCATAGCATGAAGCTCCCGCCGCACAGTTTTTGTGCTGATATTAATGCCAATGGAAGTTTATAACTCTTCAGCTATGTAACCAGCAGAGCGTTGGTGACTTTTATGCACCATGTGCCTCAGCACTTGGTGATCCATCTCTTTAACTTACATAGTCTTCCACTTCACGGCTGAGTTGCTACTCTTCTGGTTGTGCTGTTGAAGAGCTGCGACACCTTATCGGGCCCCTGTTCAACAATACCTGTCCAGTGGCCTTAAGTGCATGGGCCACCCGATGGACTACCTCAAAGTGCAGGCCCAGGTGTGGCTGCACCAGCTTCACCGGCAGTAGTTCTGAATATATTACTGGATCCCCAGATACAAAACCCTCAGTGTTGTGCCATACAAGTTCCACAGCAATAAAACTCTTAGTAAATTGCAGTGTATATGATTGTATCATAGAGCTCCACAGTAATAATGCTCATAGTAATAGTTGTGTGCACTATACATTAATCACACAATCACATACTAATCATATGCAGGGTGGTTAAATGAACTATATATACTATGTTATGTATGTTCTATATATGTTTTTAATCTGCCATTGTGCTAAATAAATGTGTGAGTTCCCTTCATGAGTTTGGGCCCTGATCCCATCATTTCTTCTCAAAGGACAGAGCTGAAGGCTGCCAGAACCTATATTACGATGACATATCTCAACATCAAAACCTCATGTGTGAAGAAGAGAGAAGGGACAAGGTATCACCTGTGAAGGGTACAGACTGCAGTTCCAGGATAACTGTAATGCTTTTCCTCCACAATCTTTAGTAACGGTGTTGGCCAGCAGGTGCTGAGAGTCTGTAAATGTGTCTGTGAGTGAAAAATGCTGCACTAGCCATGCATTAGGTTCCCCCATCAGCTGATGTCAGAGAGGAGCCCAAGGGACATTGGCACTAAAATCAGATAAGTGAAAAAAGGATTATTAACCTTTTATTTGCCACCAGGGAGGGGCCGCAAGGGACAGGAAGAAGAAAGACAGCTTTGTATTCCTAACAATATAGTGTTCCTTTAAACTAAAGTTAATTTGATGCCTGTAGTGTCCCTTTAAATTGGCAAATTGGCAATTTGCTACAGTTTGGAGTTTAGTCAATAACCCTAACAGTAATGTGCATTCATATCAAAATAACAATAAAAAACGTATATATTGCAACTGTCAAGTGTAGGATATATTAGGCAGCGAGTGAACAGTCAGTTCTTGAATTTAATTTGTTGGAAGCAGGAAAAATTGGCAGGTGAAAAGATCTCCGTTACTTTGACAAAGGCCAAATAGTGATGGCTAGACAACTGGGTCAGAGCATCTCCAAAGAAGCAAGTCTTGTGGGTTGTTTCTGTTATGTAGTGGCTAGTTCTACTAAAAGTGTTGTAAGGAAGGACAACAGATGAACCGGAGTCAGGGTAAGTGATGCACGTGGAGAGTGAAGGCTAGTCCGTCTGGTCCATTCACACAGAAGAGCTACTGTAGCTCAAATTGCTGAAAAACATAATGCTGGAATGATAGAAATGTGTTTAAACATGGGGTTGCATAGCTGCAGATCGGTCAGAGTGCCCATGATGACCCTGTCCACCGCAAAAAGTGCCATCAATGGAGACAACAGCGTCCGAAGTGGACCATGGAGCAAGGGAGGAAGGTTACCTGGTCTGATTAATCGCATTTACTTTTAAATCAGGTGGATGGGCGGGTGCATGTGCACACATGTACATTTACCTGAGAAAGAGATGGCAGCAGGATGCACTATAGAAAGAAGACAGGCCAGTGGAGGCAGTGTTATGCTCTGGGCAATGTTCTGCTAGGAAACCACGGTTCTGATCCATGCTAGCCCCACCTCGTAACCTCCAGGACTTAATGAATCTGCTGCTATGAACTGGTTCTAGATAGAGCCAACATGACATGTTCAGATGTTTTGTGAAGTCAACACTCAACGCATCATGGCTGTTTTGGCAGCACGAGTGGGGGGCTACCCAATGTCAGGCAGGTTGTAGCTTATCAACGTGTGCATATATATATATATATATATATATATATATTTATTTATTTTTTTACATAAGTGTGTATCCAATTTTAAATGTCCAATGCACTTCCTATCAGTAGCCTCCAACTGAGAGAAATAATATGTACTGTTTCTCTGAATGGGAAGCCAGTGATAGGCTGAGAACGATAACGGCTGCTCGGTTAAAGCTTCCTCACACTGCAGAGGCACAAAGGAAGGAAGTCTGGGGGCAACAGTGATGGGTGCCATAGCCTCAACTACAAGGTTACAGTACCCGTTTGCCGATATTTATCTAACATTTACAATTCAATTTTAATCCATCATTCAGTGAATAAACCTCTTAATAACAGGAAGGGGGAAATGTGAATGTCATGTTTAGAGATCTTGTTCTGCAGCTTGTATGGACCAAGTTCTAGCGGACACTTTGAAATGAGTGCGAACAGTATATTATACATCTCTTATAAAATAAATAATGTTTTAATATGTTCAGAATGTCTGCTGTGTATCATTTCAATTCGCAACCTCTGATGCCATCTGCTGTTCATACTTAATAATACATTTGAGTGATCTATAGCTAAAATAGACAGGTCAAACTAAGAAAAAATATAACACTACTCTTCTTAAAGTGACATACACAAGTTCTAGAATAGGTTTGTTTTGAGTTTTACTTTTGCTACATTTTGTTTTCTAGGAAAAAACAACAACAAACAATTGACCGTAAGCTCGTTTGAGCAGGGTCCTCTTCAACCTATCGTTCCTGTAAGTTTTCTTGTAATTGTCCTATTTATAGTTAAATGCCCCTCTCATAATATTGTAAAGCGCTACGGAATCTGTTGGCGCTATATAAACGGCAGTAATAATAATAACAACAGTGTAGCTTATGTAGTGAAAGGGTTAAAGCCAGTTTTACATGAACTGAGTTCCCACACTGTTGCAGATTCACTGAATGGCCCCAGCTGTCACAGAAGAAATACATCACGATTGTTTGACATCACAGTGGTCAGAGTTAGCCATGTCCTTGTGCTAACTATTCACAGGAGTGTGACATAGAACTTAGCAGGCTGGTATTGTAAGAAATGACCAACTGCAATCTATAAGCAGATATGATAAAATAGGACTCACATCTCCCTGCACTGACTAACAATGCCAATGATTAAATTCTCATCCTGGATGACATATTTTCACTCTTCTTGGGATTCAACTGAACTGAGCTCACTTGGTGTTGATGATGAGTTTAACTTTTAGTGAAAAGAACCCTAGTGTTGTCTTGGAAGAGATGGGGCTGTGTAAACTTTCCTGGAAATACACTGGGGTACATTAAAATTTGGCATTGCTAATTGATTAATATCTTTTTATGACTTTCAGCCAGATCACATGATAGTTATCAAAATACTCATACTACAAAATTCACAAACCATCTTATTGATATCAGTGTACCATAACTCAGAATTTAGTGGTTAAGGAATACAAAGCTATATTCCTAACACTACCGTGTCACTCTGCTCCCGCAGCCTCCCACCCCTAGTGCAATGAAAGGATTAAAAACCCTTTAACCATTTACCTGTTTCCTCTGTCATCGCCTCCTCTGCCGTCAGCGCAAGGGGTAACCTAATGCATATGAATGGTAAACACCGCACACACATTAGGCCTTTCTCAAAGAAAAGCATTGAATCAATGCTTTCCTATAGCGATTTGCAAGATGCTGGACACTGTGCATGAGGACATCCAGTATCGTTTCATGGAGTTAAACTCCGTGAAACTGCAGGATGCGCCTCTAGTGAATGTCTGGGAGACAGCCACTAGAGGAAGTCTTAACCCTGCAATGAGAACATTGCAGTTTCTCTAAAACTGAAATGTTTTACATTGCAGGGTTAAAGGGAAAGGGATCCTGCGCTGAGACCATGTCGTGAGATGAAGTGATCTGGGTGCCTATAGTATCCCTTTAATCTTGTGATGCTGTGTTCAGTAGGCTGATATTGTGAGTTTAATGAGTAAAATAAAATGGGTGCCTTTGCAGGGCTTTCAATGACATCACAGCTTGAAGGTTATGGAGAGACAAGTGCATTGATGATGCTAACAGAGGACACATGCCATTAGGTTCCATAGAGGCATTGCAGTGTATGTGTGTTTCTGTAATGTGGTTTTTCCGATATTGCACACTAGACTGGTACACAATCCTATTCAGCTGTGTTGAACGAATCAAATGCTTGTTAATTTCTGGACAAACTAATCGCTTTGTTCAGCAAACTGTGAATGCTCAATTTGATTTGTTCAGTGCAGCTGAACAGGATTTGTGCACTAGTCTGTTGTGCACTTATGTATTTATGTCATCAGCTAAAAAGAAATGGTTGCCTAACATTAGAGAGACATAATATATAAACACGAATATGTGAGACAAAATACAATACAAGTAAAAAAGTGACATCCTTGGTGTACCTCACAATGACACCACAAAAAAGGCAAACAATAATGAATGTGGGAAAACACAATACGGGTTAAAACAAATTTAACAACCTTTTCCAGTTTGTTATATTTCTTTTTTTCGTGGATTGTGTTGCCTAACATTGCCTATCATTGTTTGCATATATTATCAAATCACAGGAGATGTTTGAGGTTCGTTCTTCCATGCACTAACATATAGAAGTATTATGGGGTAATGCTTATTTGTTATCAGAGTGTTTTCAATTCAGTTTATGAGCGATTTCACTGTGTCCAATGGTCCCATTAAAGTGACAATAAGTCATCAGCTTGAGTGCTTAACATAATGTGTAGGATCCATTTTCATCGACCCAATAATGGTAAAATTGATGTCACAATATATTAGAACAGAGGGATTCTGATCTTTTATTATCATTAACAGCTTATCAGGAGATGTTATCGTGTTGATAAATATTGAATATGAGATTTTAATTTAGTCTACTGTATGTATATTTAGAGACTCTGAATCATGGGTAGATTAAAACAATCCAAATGTTCTATTCTCTTAACATACCCTTTGTCAAATCATGGCATTAAGAGATATACTAGAATCACTTTGTATCAATATGTTTCAATTATAACTGTTATCATGTATTGGTTAATAAGAGCAGAATAGGACTGTGTGACATAGTGTTCCATTTAAGAACATTTGCCTCTGAGCTTCCACAAGTATGGATTCTAAATTAACACCATTCTCACCCGTGAAGTCCGAACCTCCTGCTACTCACCCCTCCTGTCTATGTAGATTGTAAGCTCCCACAAAACCTAGTCCCTAGTTAAGTCATCTTCTGCCAGAGATGTAACTCCACCTCTTGCAGCATCATTTGGGCATCATTAGCTAGCACAGAACAAGAGTTCTGGGCTTGCTGATGTCAATATTCTGTACATGTTTGGAGTCTTTTTACAGCACAGGGGAGTGATGTCAGTCGAAGAGGACCGGACTGAGGGAGAACATGGCTTAGATGTTGGAACCGAGATGAGTTTTTGCTTTTCTTGTTTGGTGGAGGAGGAGGCGGGATGGGGGCAGGGGAGGAGTATAGTATAGCAAGGATTACTTTAACCAAAAACTATGTTTCTTACAAGGAAGAAGTGTGCCTGTCAGCCAAATGTAAACAGTATTGTTTCTCAGAAAGACAGAATGTTTTACATTGTCCAAATAAAGGGACATTATCTGCGCACCAAAACTAATAAATGAAGATGTGATTTTGGTGCTTAGAGTAATCTATGGCTATGTTTGGAGACGTATTTCCCACAATGCTGTACTTACTCAGGCAAACTGATATGTACTGGCACCCCATCCAATATAAGTAGTCAAACCTTTTTTTAAAAATGGTTTGACTTTGTATCTGTGGTCCAATGACAACACTGAGAACACTACTAGAACCCACTATTTGCTCTAGTGAGCTGAACCCTGCAGTGTAGGATTAGCGTGTTGGTTGCGTGTCAGCTGATTATTCTCAGTGAATGAGTTAAGCCTTCATAACCAGGCTACTGTGGAGGCAGGGAGGGACACATAATGGCCCCTGGGTAAGAAGTCAAACCATTATAAAATGGTCTGACTACTTATTCTGGGAGTGAAGGGGGTCCTGAACATTGTACTGTAGTTGGCCCAACTGTACAACACTTTAATATATGTTGGAGTAAAGTCTATCCACATACTTTAGAATAGATACTCAGGGAAGATTGATCAAAGTGTTCTGTTCCACAAAGTAACACAAAAATGTAGAAGATGAGCCATCACCAATTGAATATGCCTGCTGTTTTCACTGGTTTCCATGGTAATTACCCCAATTTTAATACTTTAGATCTTTTTAGAATAGAAGACTTTGATAAATCTGACCCTCGGTGTTCACTTTTTTACTGATATTTTATTCAATACTTTTTTATACTTTTTCACAAATGAATATTTTATGTTTCTGTGTTCCAGTAAATAAATTAAACTTATGTCAACTAACCGTATGTACGGTGCCACCAGAGATATAATCCACTAAAAGCCAAGAAGTACATCACGCCGCCCACGATGGTTTTCCACTCTGATCCTGATCCTGCATTCATCTCTTTATAGGACTGGCAGAAGTTCATCCGATATACTGCAGAAAGGGATAGCAACATGAAAGAGTACTCAATATCAATGGCTGCCCAGCATTTCATAAATGAAAGGCCATCACAGATTCCCTACACGTGTAAGGATAATACAAATTAAAATATCCACATGATATATGCAGGTGCAATAACACAGAAAGTAGCACTGGTAAAATCAACCAACATTATGTGCTAAAATTGTGAAAGAATATATATAAAGGACATAGAAATTGACCACTGTTGTATATTCTCATGATGGGAGTGTACCATGGTTTATGGTACTTGGGAGAAATATTTTTTTAAGTGGCTGCAGAATATACACTGTTTGCACTTATCATTATCTGTTGATACATATTATATGTTGTCATGTCATTTATATTAACTTTGTATTCTTTTTGATATATACAGGTGCTACAAAAACAGTGACATTGTATAATATTGCACACCAATGTATTAATACAGACCAACCCATAAGAAAATCTGTTTTTATTTTCTTTCATATTTTACAAATTTTGTAAAAAAATATCTTACAGCCATGTAGCCTTTATCATGTGCCTATATATTTATATGAAGAAGATACATCACAGGAGACTAAAAATAATGATCGTTGCATGCTTTTTTTCTAACATCCTTAAAACATCCCCTGTTTAATTAAGATACGATTTGTGCAGAAAGAGTGTAAAAATAAGTATCAACATAATAAGATATGTTTGCAGGAATGTAATTTATCCTAGATATTATAGAATATCCTGGGGGCTTAGTCAGGTTCTTATGGACTTTTGAAAGAATATAAAATGTGGGTTTTCTTGGATATTTAACATTTAGAAGTTCTATCCATTACAATTTAAAATCCCAGCATATTTCCCTCTATCTAATAAATCATATAGGGATCTATTCATTTCTATTAACGGGTCTTCATCTAATTTTTTATGACATTCTGTTTAAATTTCTCATTTCCATTTTTTTTGTTGGTCTGCACTATATATTTGTAATTTAATTTTTAAAGGTATATCATTGAAGATTCAAAATCAGTTTAAGTGAAAGAAGTTCCTAAAGCATTAGAAATATTTATATTAGTTCTATTATTTAGTTTTAGAACATTGCGTAGAAAATCAGGATCTAGGATATGAATTACTTACAAGCTAGTTTTTCTTCTTTGGTAAGCTGGTTCCAGGGTCCATTTTCTTTTTCTTTCAGAGCGTTCTGTTCTTTGGTCAGTTCAGTTAAAAATGGTACATCAGGCAAGGGGTATTCTCGTCGGTCACAGTACATTGTTTTAGAATAATCAATAGGGTAATTACTGGGAAAACCTGGTAAAAAAGAAAGAAAGTAATGGAAAATATGTATACAGCCCTTAGGGGAGATGTATCAATTAAGTGTGGGCTGTACACAGTAACACAAACGTAATGTGTGTAATGATCTAAGATTTAGTATGATATTGCAACTTTGCTACACATCTCTCACAAAAACGTTAAATAATCTCCTGTATTTTTACACTAAATTTCTTGCTGATCATTGCTAAAATTTACGAGTCTTCCATTTTTGTAGAGCTATACAAATACGTCTAGTAGATCCCATGGTGTCACCCTGTTAGAACGTGTACGTGTAATGCCAAAACATTAATATTCTTGTAGAAGATTAACTGGCATCTCATGCAGTCACATCAAAGGAAACATATCTCATGTATCATCATGTAAAAAGTTCCTAACTATGCAGACTCTAAATGTAGCTAAGCATATTGCGTCCTTATTTTGGAACTTGGAAGCAACCAGTATCCTCACCGTTAAGGTTCTGGTTCATAGAAATGGAAGAACTGAGAACAATGGACGAACTTTGGGGCGAATCCTGACCAATACTATGATCTGGGCCCGATGGATAGTGTCTTCAGTGTAGACTAAAGATTAGGGAATTGTACATTAACCTCTATGTAAGTTTATTCTCCCCTTTGTATCAGAATCTGAACGACCTAACGTAACATAACCCACCACCATTTCCCCCTTCTCGGTCGAACATTACCCCCTCTCCCCTCCCCATTACACAGTATGCCATTCTTTGCACATTTTCTCCTTCCCATTCACTCATATGTCTTACTGGTTAGATATGTTTAATTTTGTTGTGGAGCAAATACCATCTGTATAATTATCAAATAGATTATCTACCAAACCAACCGATTGTCTCTATGCATGTTGCCACAGATGACTGTACATGAATGTCACAATTTATGATATTTGTATTTACTAATTTTATAATTACCAATACAACATAATTTTTTTTTAAAAGAACAAGAGTATTTGCACCCAGTGAATACTGTTACATATTGATCAAGTTAAATAGGTTGAAAGAGTCCATCAAATTTAATCAAGTTTCTGTTTATGCCAAAGACAAAAAAAATGCAACAGCAAAATTTTCTGACAGTCATTGCCTTTGCAGCTCTTATCATTTATTATAATCAACTCCATGGTTTTGCATCCCTCCTATAACAGGTGCCTCATTCCAGGGACCTTTTTAGCCCTTTACTGCAGAGAGCCCCAGGTGGAAGTTTTTTCCCAAGTAAGTGGGAGAAGACCTTAGGCTGTTAGAGTAGGACCTGCCAAAGATGGGGTAGATTAATGTTGTGGCAGGCTTATGCAATGTATGATCATATGCTGTAACCAAACCCCCATTTTTACCTAGATTAGGTGTTTGTTTTTTTTAAACAACAAACTATTAAAAACTGTAAGCTTTAGGGGGGTGCTGTCTGAACCGCTAGCTGAGCTGCCGCAGGGCTCCTAATACCAAAACTGATTATTTGGACATACTCACCAGCATAATGCCAGGAGACATGCCGGGGATCGCTACCCAAACTAGGGGCACCCTTGGGAACCTCTTGATACCTCAATGAGAGCCTCCTACTACCACAAGCCCGAGGTGCCACACCGCGGCCTGCAAGTGCTGGAGCCGAGGAGAGGTGGCCGCTCTCCTTGCCCTCACGTCTGCAAAGCGGAGACACCGATACCAATCTTTCTTCCCCTCCCCCCCACCGGTCCCGGTGATCCCGGTCCACCACAGGGAGACAGCCCGGCTACAACAGCCGCGGGAGCGGTATGCAGAAGCGGAGGCCTGCACTATGGCGGACAACGTGTGCACTCCCCAGAGGCGTGCAGAAAGACCCGATATTCTCCAGCAGCTGGATGAGCCCCCACCAAAGACACGCAGTCCCTCAAATGATGAAAGCCACAAGATGGCGCCGACGGATGCGACCTCTCCCGTCAGCACGTAACACCACTTGGCACAAGAAACGGAAGGCAGCTCCCCTCCACTGCAAGACTCCAACACCCTCAAACACGTTCAGCTGCTCTCCGAAGCCAGCACTGAAGCCAGTGAAAGTAAAACACACCTCCCCACGCCGGATTCAGTCCACATGGCCACGAGCTGAACAAGCCTTACTAGGCCCAGGACCGCCATCAGGGGGTGACAACCATAACGGACAAAGAAGGGCAGAGGGAGAAAGGCTATAGAGAGTACAGGAGGAAGGACATAGGGGCATAGGATGGAAGGGGGGATAACGAGAGCACAAGAGGGGGGACAAAGAGGGGCAAAGGAGAGGAGGAGGGAAATAAGGGCACAGAAGTGTAGAAGGGCTAAAGAGGGAATAGAAGGGTAGGAGGGCTAAAGAGGGAAAAGAAAATGGCCAAACAAGGGCACAGGAAGGGATGGAGCAAAAAAAGGCACACAAGGGCAGAGGGGCTAAACTTGGCACTTTTCCTCATTAAGCTCATTCCTTTTGCTCTCCCTATTAGTGGAGTGTATTGGGAATTTTTTTTATTATCTTTCAATGTTGTTTATGCGATTTGGCATGTTGACAGTCTTAGGACCAGTGAGCCAAACACATCTTTGTTAAGACGGTGTTTAGGAACACTCAGGGGAAATGATTCTTTCCTTTAAGAAGAAGCGGTCAGAAGAGGTGATATCTGCCTATTTAGTTTGCAGAGACAAGACCTTATCCTGAAGAATTGTGGTGGTGGTCTCTGATGCCACTGGAAAACAAACAGATGATGTAGCGAGACAGGTCTCTATCCAAAGCTGGCTAGCAGTTTATCCTGTTCCATTACATAAACCCAATTTGAACCTGTTAGAATTGCTGCAGCAAAAATTAAGTGTCAATTACAATGTCAATTAGACTTCTCAAATGAATAACCTGTCTATACCCTGCATGTTAGCTGCGATTCTCTGATAAAACAACCACTCTAAGCTAGATATTTGTGTAATATCATACAAATATTACATATAGTGAAGTATTACCATTAATTATTTTTTAATAACCTTAAGTGCAACGCCATTTTGTTGGTTGTGGACTTTATTTCACTTCTTTGGGGGACTGCAGCTGGATTTGTCACTTTCACTTATTTATTTTGTGCTACATGTCATATAATATTTAGTGCTGTCTACATTCTGGTTATTGAAATATCTGAATTACATCATGTAATGCAATCATCTTCCACTTGATGTCTCGGTCTCCTAATTTACCCAAATTCCCTTATAGAGGTTTAATATACTGCACAGGCTGAATTAGCTTAGCTTGTATAATGTGCAAATACTTTCACGTGGCTTCTTCATTGCAAGATCACTAATGAAGAGGTTAAGGAGAAATTAAGACCAACCCTGAGCTACTCCACTCACCACTTTTGCCCAACTAAAAAAAATGCCATTAAAACTACTATTTGCGCCCTGCACTCTGCTATCCTCAAGGCAATTTTCAGACCAAGAACATGACTTTTCAGTAACTATCAAACATTTTTGCAAAATCTTCTGCTGCACATTGATCTATTAAGTCAGTTTTACAAGATCTGCTGTAAAATCAGTTTAATTATTTGTAATGACAGTATTGTTCAAAACGAGTGCTTGAATATTAATCCCAAATCTGTAATTTCGGAGTACAGTTTTTACCCCTTTTCAAATATAGGCCCCACATCTACTGTATGCCAATTCTTTTAATCAATCAGTGGAAGAAAAGCAATTGGCACACTGTTCTTTCCTTCCTTGGTGCATTTATTGAGGACTATTCAGTGAAAGAATGTGTCATTGAGACAAGAGGACAGAATTAAAGAATTCCTACTGTTTGTATTTGTTCTTCATTCTGAAGGGACAGCTTAGTTAAATAAGCAGCGGATATATTATCAAAAGGATCAACTTTTTGGGGAGGGAACAAAATTTGGTAAACATTAACAATGTATTTAATTGGTACCTAACTTTCATGTACCACATACACGCATAAACACAAACCCAACCTTGATTGTCCAGTGGAGGCCTTTTTTGAGTACCTAACTATTTGTTCTCCACCATCACATGCTCGTCATCGACAAATCAGTGTTTCAACCTTTGTAGCAATTGAACTTCGGGACAATGTCTTTTATGACAAACCTTGAGTTTATCATTGTTTATATGGATAGTAAATACTTTCTTGTAAAAGGTACTAATGCGTCTCTATGCTGTAAAGTTTTTCACCTTTAATCTTAACTATCAGTGACTGGTTCAGATTTTAAGAAATTGTGAGCCCTATAAAATATGAGCATTGATAAGAGTTTACATTTTCTTACAGATCTTTATTTCCCTTTAGTTATTACATATGTCTTGTAGAGCTTTACAAAGTTCAGCACTTGCTCGTAAGTAAGGGGTTGCACTGAGAACAATATGTAATTAGACATTTAGTACAAATTCATTCCAAAGGATATATGAGTGTGTATTATTTGACAATTGGGAAGCTAACAAGAAATGATAAACTGATCTGATTTGCAGAAAGGAAGGAGAAAATAAGATATTTGGAAATCAGAAAAAAGCTACTTTTTAATATAATTTTCAATATATTTTAGAACTTCTAACATATATTTTGTTGCTGGCACAAGTGCTGAATTTGATCAATGTCAGATAAAGGTTGGTGGAAATGGTGAGTTAACATTGCTTCTGTTTGCAGCCATAGCAATGGGCAATACAAGGTCGTGCATCACCACCTGATGCATGGTGTGTGAGGGATTTTAATAAAAGATGCCCATGGGTCCCAGGAGGCATTGCAAATAATTGCCATTCTTGCTCCAACCCATATGTGGTGGTGGAGCTCAATAAATACAGGAAAGGGTGTATCTTATTGGGTTGGGGCCTCTGAATGACATTTAGAGTAACAATAATGTTGGTCTAGGAGGTCTCTAGTCTCTAGCCACAAATACTCACTCACAAATAAATTCAGAAGAAAAAAAAAATCAGAGTGAGGGTGTTGAAGGGGCAGAATTAGATTGCAGATTTTAATAATACCAATGATAATGAAGTGAGTTAACATGTCGGTATAATAAGGTATTGGGAAGTCTTTGAGAGTAGCTAAAAAAGTGATGAGATTTAGGTCTTGTGACAAAAAGGTCCATAACAGGAAATTAGCAGAATAGCCCAGATTCTGTATCCTTAAATAATTTTGGTTTAGCAAGAGTTGCAAGTAACAAGATTGCTAATGTGGAAGTTAAAGTCCCCAAATATGAGAGGAGTGAAGTTTGAAAATCATGATAGTGTGTGCAATTAGTTTTTTCATCTTTGCTCCCTGTTACTATCATCTACAAGGCCATTATGGTCATCACACTCTGCCTCTCAAACACTTCTCTTTAAGCACTTAAAATCCATAGGATATTCTTGCAGACTACTCTCAGGAATGGATAAAGGAATATATTTTCTGTCATTGAGATCAAGAAATTCCTTCCAGAGGACTGTTATATCTATAAATCCAATTATGCTAAAACCTTTAAAGGCTCAAATTATTAGCCAGTTTTCTGTCACTAACACCAGATTATGTAGGGGCAATTCTAACTGTGAGAGTGCTCAAATCTAAACCGGAGCAGCCTTGCAATACAAGTTACTAAAATGAACCTTCTGCTGATGAATCTCCAAAGATACACACAGGTAGAGATTGGGAAAGACAAAGAAAAACATGCACATGTGGGAGGGAGAATGTGGGGTGGTTTTAGGATTGCTGTGCATTAAGGGAAATTCAGTCCACGAGTACCTGCATCTATTGTTTGAGGGCTACATTTACCATGAAGCTCAGCAAGCCAAATCCTACTCAATGGTTTTGTTAGGGGTTCCACAAATTATGATAGCTGCCATAACTTTATAGATACAGACCTCAATTTAATTCCATAAGCTAAAAACAGTCAACAATTATTAACTTTTTTGGGCCATTTTTTTCTAATAAAATTTTGGCTGGATTTAATGCCAGCTGACAATCAAGCAGCTAAACTCAAAAAGCGGGTTAGCTGCTCGAAAATCATTCTGCCATTAGTTTTCTTAAAGCCTATATGGATCAGTATGACCCCCATATTACTGCAAGTAAGGTTTATGCCCCCATTGACCATGCTGTGTGTGGTGGCATGTTTACTAAACAGTGAGCAGCGAGAAGCTACTTAATGTAATAGAAAACTAACACATGGTCAGCTATTGCTGCCTAGATACTAGTGAAATATAGGGAGTACCTGCAACAGGTCCCCCCCATGTGACCCCATCAATTGGCATTGGGTGGGGGCTTAAAATGCAATAATTGAGGGTGGGCAGCTAGTGGAGATTACTAAAGCAAAGGACATCCCAGTGTTTCCCAGTCTCCACCTATGATATGGAGCTGAAGGCTACTAATTAAATAAACAGGGAGACCTATTGTCACCCAATAGTCCTCACTTATAGGTGGTGGATGGAGACTATAATTAAAACAAACAGGGTGGACTTACGATGCTCCACCCTCCCTAACTGTAGCCAGGTCCACCCCTTCCCTGATGGCTAGTAGACCTCAAGCACCAGGCTACCTTCTCTGCCAGATGCTCCATGCCTAATACATTCAACACTGCCTAATGCATACACACTCACTGCCTAATCCATACAATCATTTATTTATTTTTAAATACCCCAATTTGCAAAAATAAACCAGCAGTGTATTAGCGCTGGGGACCCCTAGTCATAACCTGACCAAAATTTAGGTGGAGGATATTAGTATATCTACCCTCTTTCTGTATTTAATTACTATCCCTACCCACCGCCCATTGGTTGAGGCTGGGGTGGGGACACTGAGTGGACACTAGATTGCCAATTTTATATTTATTAATAGACCACATCCGCATCCATGGGTGGCAGGTGGAAAGATACTTCCCTTGTTTAAATTTAATTAGAGCCCCAACCACTGTCTGTGAAGGGACACATTTCACATAGAACAAACACAGCAGCAGGCAAGTTATAATAAGCAGCTGTCGGTCAGATTGCAGTAACATCCTTAAACAAGCACACACTCTGCACTCACTACACACACAATATTCAGTATACACACTCTGCACTAACTACAAACACACTACATTCACTATACACACTCTGCACTCACTACACACACACACTACATTCAGTATACACAATCTGCACTCACTACACACACACTACATTCAGTATACACACTCTACACCCACTACACACACACTACATTCAGTATACACACTCTGCATGCACTACACACACTATATTCAACACACACACTATATTCACTATACACACTCTGCACTCATTACATTCAGTATACACACTCTGCACTCACTACAAACACACATCATTCACTATACACACTCTGCATTCACTACAAACACTATATTCACTATACACACTACATTCACTATACACACTCTGCCCTCACTACATACGCACTATATTCATTACACACACTGCATTCACTAAACACTCACTACATTCAATATACACACTGCGCTCACTACACACGCACTACATACACTGCATTCACTAAACACTCACTACACACACTCTGCATTCACTACAAACATACTATATTCAGTATACACACCCTGCGCTCACTACACACACACTACATTCACTATACACACTCTGCACTCACTTAATTCACTTTACGTACTCTGCATTCACTAGACACACTACATTCACTATACACACTCCGCAATCACCTGGTACACACTACATTCACTACACAAACGCACACTCTGCAATCATTATACAAACACACACGCTGCATTCACTATGCATATACTACAACCACTACACAAACACACACTCTGCATTCACTATACACTCACTACATCCACTATACAAACACACTCTGCATTTACTATACACATCTGCATTCACTATACACATCTACATTCACTACACAAACACACACTCTGCATCTAATGCATACAAACATTACATTCATTACACAAAACCTACAATCTGACACCACTATACACACTGCATCCATGACACACATACCGCATCCACTACACACATTCTGCATCCACTATACATGCACACACACCACATTCATTACACACACACTTGATCCTTGTAGGCGGACTTGGGGCAGGCACTATGGGTTGACTCGGGGGCCGACCCCGGAGGCTCAGACCTTGAGCTGTGTCAGGGGCCCCAAAATTTCTAATGGCAACCTGTTCGCAAGAGTCACTATATAGGAGGGACAGTCCCCATTTTTAACCCAAATCCCTCTGTCCCTATTTTCTGTCCTTTTCTGCTCTTTTAGGAGCTCCATATTGTTAGTATGTCTGAGTGTATCACAGAGCTCCACAGCAATAATACTCACAATAAATGTGTTTAGAAATTAGTCTGTGTAAATAAGATACATTGTTCTTGTTCTAAATTATATTTTAGTTCCATGAATTGTTATTAGTAACACATCTATAATTTCTGAGAACAGTCCCGTCCCTGGCCACACCTCCGCTTACACCTCTAAAAGTAAGGTGTCCCTCTTTGTTCATTTGGAAATTTGGAAGGCATGCTACTCTACCAGATAAAAAGTGAAATTTTCAATATAGCATTAATTAACGAGAAGTGAATATCTGATGACTGTTTTTCTTTAAAGCGACCCTGTCCTGTTTTTCAAAAAAACTTTTTATTTCAATTTCCCTATGCCCCCTTTATCTTAATGATTATACTCCCCCCTACCCCCACCCTGCCAGAGACACTTGACTTTATTTATATTTATTATATTTTCCTTCTTGTGACAGATCACAATGCCAATGATGTCTACTATTTGCCCTTCTGTGGGATTGATTTTAATGACGGATTGACAATTGAAACAGAACCTTGCTTTTAGCTCCAGCCATCCAAGTTTTGTCAACCTCACTGATATACACAAATAAGTAGTTTACATTTCATTATGTATTTTATGGAAACTCGAGCAGTCAGGGAAAAAAAATATTCAGACATAGGATGATTTGTAGAAACAGATTAGAAAATGAATCTTTCTGGTGACAGAGCCTGTTTAAACTTCAGATTACAATACAGTATTAATTTATAATTTAGCTTTATATTTATATGTTTTTTTTTTTTTCTCACCATATCCCTGAGTTGCAGACTGAGAGCTAGTGGTAGACAAGCTTCTCCAGGCGATGGACCTTGTCCCTTTCAGGGCACGAGCAACAGAAGTTAGCATCTGAAGAAAGAAAAGCCCATCAATAAGATATTTTATTCAAGTTTCAAAGGTAATCACAGTATAGATTATATGTATGATTTCTTACCATAGAACCCCACCATGAAGACACACTTACAGTTTGTGACTGCTTCCTGGGCTCACTTACTAAAAGTCTGCCTAGCCAGACCTCAGCCTCCAGGACCATGCAGGGAGTGCTTTTTAGGTCTCATGTTCACTTTTCTATTCTTGGGAGGGGGACTGTGGGAGAGTGTGCAAGAAGTCCGATTGTATGTGTAATTGTTAATATATTACAAAATCAATGCTATATACTTATGTACAGATAATTCTGATCTCTTGAGACCGGGCCAGATCATTTGTGTGAATACAGAGAATTACTGTGAGACCAAACGTGACTTATTGAATTTAGAACACACATTGTAAGTGTGTAGCTATCTGTCAAGCTCTTTCTGACAGCTCATCTGACAAACCCACTGGATTTGACACCAAGTTTAGCCGTTACTCACATTGGCCATGTTTTACAATTAGTGGGATCATTGGAAATTGGAAAAGCTATTTTGTAAATTAGAAAATATAGCTGCAATGGCATCACAGTTAAAATAATGGAATTTGTATACTTCTGAGCACTAATGAACCATAATGTTTGCAGCAACATAAAATATGAAAGTCATTATAAACCAGTTCCTTAAAATAATTCTGTTTATCCATTCCTGGCAGAATACCATTCCTTTATTCCCTAAGCTATCATATCGCTGGAATGACAAATGATAGCTTGTCTATTAAATGCGTTTGCTTCTTTTTTTCCCATGTGCAGTTTTTATTGAATAGAAATATGCAGGAAAGGTAAGACAGGTAGGCGATATGCCTAAAGGAAACAGGAACTCTTATGAATGTTGTACAAAATAAAGTGAATTATAGATTGTTGCCTTGGTTTTCAATATTAAATACTTTAAGTAATATTTACATCATATCCTGGGCTGCCAATGCACAGCTTGGCATGTAGTGTACATCCTTGTTCACCTTCATGATGCTATGCTCTGGGCTCATGAACACACGTACATTGAAATATACCCAGACTGCAAGCTTTATTTGGTGTAGAAGATGCTTATTTGGGAAGATGATGGCTTTGGTACCCAGAAGAGCTGCATAGGTACTTGCAATTCAATATTACATCTGCTGTGCTCCTCGCAATTTCAGTGTTCCAATAACAGTAACTACTGTGAGTAAAAACAAAACAATTTCCATCTAAAAGATAACAGCTCTTTGTATTTTAAATCTAAAAATCACCAAACCACTCTTAAAAACAGTATCAATTTAAAAGATGACAAAAAACAGGTTTTTACTCATTGTTTGTGTTTTTTTTTTAAATCTAAACCTATGGCAATGCACTGAAGATGATAGAGTTTGCATCCCTCGCTACTTCAATTCATGTTATTTCGTGTTAATTTATATCAACACATTTTAATAAACCTGCTTCTTTTTTTTTGCTGTCTACATACAGATCTTATCTGCTGGTGCTCAGCATGTTTTTGAAATGTAACCTATATCTGAAATTACAAATTGTGGGTTTGTATTTCATTAAACCTGCAATAATGAAGTATATTTAACCCTTTAGTGGCCTTGTCCAAGATTCTATGCATTTGAGACCAAGGCCTTTTTGTAACTTTTGCTATGTGTTTATTCTGCCACAATTTAATACATTCGGGTCTGATAAGACGATTAAATTTACTAGCACAGAGTTCAAAATCACTAGAAGAATTTCCAGAGAGCTTAACTAAGAGCATTGTGACATTTTCCATTCAACCCATTTTCCCCCAATTTCTGACATATCTGACTGTTATACTGTTTTTTGGTGTTTTTCACATACATTTCATTTGCATGGGAATTTCAGACCAAGACCGTAAAAAAATGAAGATTTTTGTTCTTCCACTGCCCCCACTACGAATGTGTCCTACATCTAGAACTTGAATTTTTGAGAAATTATTGGGTAAAATTACAGGCATGCCAATTTCAGTTTATAAATGTCTAAATTTCACTGCTTGACTTACTGTTCCCTTCTCTCTTTTGGGGAAAATTAGTATCCCCTAAGGTTGCTCTACCTCCATTTATAGGGACAGTCCCTATTCTGGTCACAAATCTCTCTTTATTGTTCGTGTGTCTGAGTATATAACAGAGCTCCACAGCAATAAAACTCCCAGTAATGTGTCTTTTAAACTAGAATAAATGGGACTGCCTCTGTCCACATCCCTACTCACACCCTTAACATTAAAGTGTCCCTCTTTATATATTTGAAATTTCGGGATGTGTGTATTAGCATAAAAACAACTTAAGAAATTTAATATAGATCAATTTGACCATTTCATCAAAAATTTTGTGGTATGTTTTCACATACATTTGGACTTTAATGGTGAATTCCACAATTCACGTTTGTTCTACTATTTCAAAGACTTGTATTTTGTTGAATCTCCTTAGTACAGCAATGCATCAAATTAAAGCATTGTGCATGTTGAAAATGTTTGATCCTTGCACATCCATTATCAGAGGTTAAAAGGCACTTTTTCTCTTTTCTCTCAATTGTGTGTACATTTTGCTTGTGGTGACTAAGGCAAGGCATGGCTTTCTGTGCGCTCTTTATAACTTGGAGCACATACCTTTAAAAAATGCAATAACTTCATCTTAATGAAGTGATTTGGGAGAATAGATGCTTGCTTGTTTTATTACAGATAAGCACAGTGCTGTTTGTAGGAGAATTATATTGGAGGATCACGTGATGATCTCACAAAAGGAGGATTGGGCTGCAGTGAAATTGCATTAAAGGTAAGTTTATTGGAATTTAATTTATTTTTTTATGAGGGCTCAGTCAAACAGAGTGACAAAGTAAGACATCTAATTAACACATGTAATAGACTGTCCCTTTAAAGCACATAGGTGTTAAAGAGGATGGCAAGAATTACAAATACAGTTTTAAGTACTTTTTACTAAATTTTTTTTTTTTGTGGGGGTTAATGAGTTCTTGAAGGATTTCATGACTGACTCTGCGCACAGAATGCAGCATGTATGCATGTCTGGAAGAGTCCCTTCAAGGTCCATACTTCTGTAGAATATGTAAGTGAGTGGCTGCTGTGGACTCTCAGATTGGAGATCTAGAAAAGCAAATTGAATCATTGACGAAGATTGTCAATCTTGAAAAGTCTCTGCTGCTCATTGAGCCGAGCTTAGCAGGAATATCCACTGATACTGGAGAAGATAAGCCAATTGAGGAACAAGTAGATTTCTTGGTGAGAGTTATATATGTTTGCCAGAGGGGAAAGGCACAAATACAAGAGACAAACTAAGGTCATGATTACAGAGATCAGGAGAAGTCAAATGAGCCAAAGCCAAAAACCAGAGACAGTTGTGTTCAAACATTTGCATACCCTTGGAGAATTGGTAATATATGTACCATTTTTAATGAAAAAATGAGTGAGCAGACAAAACACATTTTTTTTTATTTCTTATGGGAATCATATTCAACTGTATGTTATATCAGAATAGCACAGTCATAAAAAAACATGGCAACAAAGAAAAAAAATGAAATGACCTGTTCAAAAGTCTGCATACCCTTAGTTCTTAATACAATGTATTGCCCCCTTTAGCATCAATGACAGCGTGCAGTCTTTTGTAATAGTTGTCCGAGGTCCGTAATTATTGCAGGTGATATAGCTGCCCTTTCGTCTTAGCCAAATGCCTCCAGGTCATGCAAAGTTTTTGGTCGTTTTGCATGAACCGCACGTTTGAGATCTCCCCAGAGTGGCTTGATGATATTAAGGTCAGGAGACTGTGATGGCCACACCAGAACTTTAACTCCATGAGCGTCCCATGCGCAGCCTTCGTGCAGAAGAATGCAAATTGTTTGCAAGTATTTTCTGATAACATGCTGCATTCATCTTGCCATCAATTTTCACAAGATCCCCCATGCCTTTAGCGCTCACACCCCCGAAAACATCAGTGAGCCACCACAATGCTTCCCAGTGGGGATGGGATTCTTTTCACTATAGGCCTTGCTGACCCCTCTCCAAACATGGCGAGTATGGTTGTGACCAAAAAGCTCTATTTTGGTCCTGTTACTCCAAATTACAATGTGCCAGAAGCTGTGAGGCATGTAAGGTATTGTCAGGCATATTGTAACCTGGCATTTTTGTAGCATTGGCGCAGTAAAGGCTTCTTTCTGGCGACTTGGCCATGTAGCTCATTTTTGTTCAAATATCATCATATTGTGCTCCTTGAAACAACCCCAGCTTCTTTTTTTAGAGCAGCCTGTATTTGTTACCTGTGGGTTTTTCTTTGTATCGAAAACAATTCATCTGGCAGTTGCGGCTGAAATATTTCTTGGTCTACCTGCCCTTGGTTTGGTATTCTGAGATCCCTGAATTTTCCACTTCTTAATGAGTGATTGAACAGTACCAACTGGCATTTTGAAGGCTTTGATTATGTTTTTTATATCCTTTTCCATCTTTATAAAGTCCCATTACCTTGTTACGCAGGTCTTTTGACAGTTCTTTTCTGCTCTCCATTGCCCAGTATCTAGCCTGCTCAGTGCATCCACAGAAGAGCTAACAAACTCATTGTCTATTTATACAAAGGCACTAATTGCAATTTAAAAAGCTACAGGTGCAGGAAATTAACGTGTGTGTGTGTATGTGTCCTTGTGTGTCTGTAACAAGGCCAAACATTCAAGGGTATGTAAACTTTTTATCAAGGTCATTATGCTGATTTCTGTTATCATTATGATTTTAAAAGGAGCAAAACAACTATGTGATTATAAATGGCTTCATATGATCACTATCCTCCAATAAAATAATTTTTTTTTGCATGATCAGTCATATTTTCAAAATCAATGCCAAAATTTCACAATTTCTGCCAGGGTATGAAAACTTTTGAGCACAACTGTAGGACAATAAATCAAGAAACACACTCCTGGATTTACAGGATCCACAACAGGGCAAAGAACCAGAATGAACCTGGATGTTAAAAAACCCAGTGATGCCAAACTCACACAACATTCCTTACGGTTGAAAAATGATGCAAGCATTCTGGTGTGTAAGATGCGATAAAAGCGGAGCAGTCTGCATCAGAAATGTTGCCAGAATAACACACAGTGTCAATATGCATGGGAGAGCAGATGTCACAGGTACCGAAACAATCATGCACATTTAACAACATATCGTATTTTCGGAAGATGTGTTTATAAGAATTTCCCAACATCTTCCCCATGTTTTCATACCCTACAATTCTAGTTTGATATCCAGCACCATTACCCAGAAATGTTTTGTATACCCATGTATGTTACCCTACTCCTTTGCCATGATCCGTGCACAGGGGGCAATGGGTTTTTCCTTGGTTTCTCAGGAAATAAAATTGGAATGTCAGGACAGGAAATCAGGGCTATTGGGAAGCCTGCACACACAATACCATTATTGTACAAACATTGCATAATATGTGTTTGGGGAAACAGAACATAGCATTCACTAATTCAAGATGGGAACTCTGTTGAATTAATTAATTGAATTATAAACATTAAAGAGGAACTGTCAAGCCTCTGAAATTGATAGTTCCTCAATCCCTTACCACAGCACACACAATTGAAAACATCTATTGAGCTGATGAGTGCAGCAGAAGGAAGTAAAACACACTTACCTCTGCAGCAGTTCCAGGTGTGGAGACATCATTGATGCTCCTGCAAATTTATACGTGCCTTCTTGGGCCTACATACATGTATCATCGCCATAACCTTGCACATGGTACCAAGGGGGCTTGAAGACATTTGAATGTAAATACAATTAAAAAACTTTTTCTTTCACTTTTCCTTTTGTTATGTCCCTTAATTATATTCCCTTCCTTCAAACTTTCCTTTATTTATATTTATTGTGTTTTTTTCCTTGCACTATATCTCAATACCAGTGTGCTGCCATTTTGTTCTTCTCTGTCCATCAGTTTGGTCTTTTGTTAGCTTAGCAACTGATAGGGAACTTTGGCCAAGAAAATGCCAAAGATCATGCTCCCCTTAAGAAAAATAAATCCCTACTATTTTTCATGTATAATAAATATATTATAGTGAATTATAAAAAATAAAAGCAAGGAGAAACAAAGGAACAAAAATGATACATTTTAAAACAAAACCTGCAAATTGATAGAGCCACTAACCGGCAAAGAATATTTATGTGGTATTTTATATATATTATAAGGAATTTGCTTCAAACAAAAGACATCTTTAATGTTGGATATTTAAAATAAAATGGTTAATTCTACTTCTGGCATAATTATAAGCCATGTTCTCAATAATCACAGGACTGGTGCATGGTTTATGAACAGTGTTTGGCACTGAATGATTTCAATCCTTAGAGGGATAGCTAAATCCTGAATGTGTCATTAACCCCGTTAATGCCAAAGGTATAGGTACATGCAGTGTTACTCTTCTAGTGCTCACAGAGAAAACACAAATAAAAAACATAATGTCACGGTATTAATGATACCAAAGTTTGTTAAACATTCAATTATTTTGGCCTAAGTTTTGCAATGAATATTTCAATACAATACAAATAGCTTTTTAGTGAATAACATCATTAATCAATCTGTTATTGGGCAGATTATCAGGGTTAAATACTATGGAAAAGTTTCCTTTATATAATGAGAAGACAATACATCAGAATTCTAATTAATGTAGTTGTCAGTATAGTATATCATAGTGACAATCCCTGTTTAACTGCAAATAATGCAAGTACAAGTGTATCATCTTTGGTTTCCAGGAGGTCTAGCATTTGAACCATTTTCCTATCACAGTTAATGAGTTGCTACATAAAATCTTTATGACATGCCACTAAAGAAACTCTCTAAGTTACCATTGGCAGACAATTAGCTATAAACCACAAGCAGTAAACAGGAGTGGGAGTTTTACAATAAATATAAAGACCATCTCAGGCTACTAGATACACATTATTTAAACTCCAGGTGTAGCCATTCTATGTCCATTTTTTTTAAAAATAATGTCTTATTTATTTATTCATGTTAGGTAGTAGTGCTCAAGTCACAGACACAGTCCAAAAGTGTGGCAACAACATGTGCAATCAATCATCAGTATTGAACCCAGTGCAGCCTAATCTGCACCTCTTATGAATATACTTCCCCGTGTAATCATCGGGAGTGGGCTAAGCTTTGCTGTCCATGAACTCAGATCCTTTATGATTGGCTGTTGAACACATCTCCTCCTTTATGATTTGCTGGTCGTGATCCCTGCTCATTAGCTTTGTCCTGTCTAGTCAAATCATCAACCTTAGATTAATTAAATGCTGCTATCCACCCCTCAGACACATAGGGGTTTTATGTATAAAGAGTAATTAACGGCCAAGGTTCTAAAAATGGAGCAAACATCAGAGACATTCCATTGGATTCCATGGTGACTGCTCCACTTTTAGAACTTTGCCCCGGGACTACTCATTATATAAGTATTGGCAAACAAGTAAATAAATAAACACATAACCACTATATAGAGGTGTTAAAGTGTTGTGCTAGGTTATGAGGCGTAGACTTATACTGAAATAGCAAGGGCACGCACATACATATAGAATGTGTAAAAATGTACGTCTAATATTTTTGTTGTATTATCCCTGATAGAGTCTATGTTTTAAAGGCACTAATCCACATACTGACGACATTTCCAGAGTGCATTTTTTAGATGTCTCACACTTGCACAAGCCAAGATTCGTTAAAGCACATTAGCTCTTGATTATCAGCAGAATTTATGACCAGAAATGTTGTGCTTCTAATCTAAGGTTACATAAAGACATCTGCCATCAAAGAGCATGACGAGACAATGGGATACACTCAAAAAAGGTTTTTACTTACAAATCTGCATTACAAAATAACACAACATGTGTGTAACAAGTTAATCTTTTACTTTCAACAATAATAGAAAATTATAGCAGCCGTCCTTTGTAGGAATACTCCAAGCATCATAAAACAACCAACTGTGGTAGGTATGGCGCCAGGAGTAAGATGTCAAACTTTTTTAATATGGAGTCCTGCCAGATACCTACTGCTTCAACCTCTGCATCCAGTCTTCATCAGATGAAGAATCTATATTGATCTGAAGAGTAAATCAGGTCCATGCTCACTGGCTAGGAGATTCAGTTGAATGCTCTCAGCCAGTAAGCATGGTCCTGCATCAGTCGTGCTTTACTCTACATTGACATCTGGCTTTTCCTCCATGAGAAGACAAGACAGAATGAGGTCCAGGGACCCAATTAAGTAGTTAAACTGCACATAGCTGATTTGACATCTTACGGCAGGATGGCACCATAACTACTACAGTGTTTGTAGTGGCTATGTTGCTTAGACTGTTTCTTTAAATCCTAATTACATATAATGCAAGAGTCCTTTGGAAGAAGTTTGAAGAACTGCAAGTAAAGTGTTGGTTTGAGTAGGGGTAAATACCTGCTTACGACTGAAAGACCCAGGGGTCAACCAATATCTGGGGCTCCTCTCTGTCAACTGGGGCCATTTTCAGTGGCTTCTGACTGTCAGTTGCGCTGTATGCCACACTCAAATTGTGTTCTGCAAACAGCCCATTTGAAATTCCCATTGATTGCAATGTTAGATGAGCAGAGTTAAATCTCTGCTCACACTGGGAGGCCCAGGCATCAATAGCTATTTTGAGCTCCCCTCTGTTGGCAGGGGTAATTTTCAGTGGTCCAAGAGAGATATGCTGCATGCTGCACTCAAAGTAATCCCTGCTACAACTATTCAAATAAGCTTTTAATGGTCTATTGCTACAATCACTACTTACTTAAATCACTACTTTACATTAGGGGGGCCCTGGTATCCATTATTACCTGGGGCTCCACTCTGTCAGCTGGGGTGCTCAAAGCCAGCACTGCTTATAGCCATTTAAAAATTCATTGAGAACACTGCAGGTGAGCAGAACGCACTCAACCACGTTGATTCTCAGCTGCCAGCTCCTCATGGGAGACCCCCAGGCCAGGGTCTCTCATTGCATGCACTCAAGCCAAAATTAGTGCTTCCCAGCACTTATCATAGTGTAATTGGCTGGGAAAGCATGCTTGATTTCAGTATTACTGGGAATTGTCCCTGAAATAAAGAGAACAGCTAGTAGATTGTGGCAACATACCTTTGTCTACCATTTTATGTAACTGAAGGCCTCTATAGGTTTAAAGTTAGGGTTATATTTAATGTTAGGGTAGGGTTAGAGTCAGTTGCAGGATTAGCATTAGTGTTAGGGTAAGGTAAGGGTTAATGGTGGATTAGATCTAAATGGCACTGTCACAGTCTAGGGACTTTGCTGAATTCGCAAAGACCCCCATCAGTGATATCACCACCGGTGGGTCTGGTGGCCAGGAGGGGCAGGTAAAGGTGAGACTTACTTATCTGAACCTGTCTCTTGTGGACATCTTGTTCCAGTGGGTCCTCTTTAGTGCTAGGAGCCGACTTCACTGCTGCCCCATAAACAGTCAATTTCCACCAGCCATTACTGTAGCTCAGTCAGGCGGAGGAAATATACAAAGACAAAGTAGTCCCTTCTTTATCTCTGTATATTTCTTGACTGGGTTGGTATTTCAGTGAAAATCCAACACAGTTAAAATGAATATTTCAGATAGCGAGTTAATTTTGATACTAGACATATGTGGCATTTAACAGTTAAGAGCGATGCATTCATTTATTTTGAGTTCTGTTTGTTTAGTTGAACTAGAAATGTTTTTAAAAATAATTCCGTCCCAATTTTTAACATTTTATTCACACTTAATGTTGCGTTAGGTACACATATAGGATGTTAAAAAATGCCCTTTCTTTACTTTAAAAAACAATGTTTAATATGTATAGTGGGGAACTAAAATTACGGTGAAAGAAACACATTGTTCAGAACTTGGACAATTGCCTCCGTCCTTGAAAGTTAAAGGACCACTATAGGCACCCAGATCACTTCAGTTTAATGAGGTGGTCTGGGTGCCTGGTCCATCTAGGATTAACCCTTTTTTCTCTCCAGTATATAGTTAATCATATTAACTTTTATGATTCACACAGTTTGCAACCAGGAAATCTCAGCCTACACATGCTATCCTGAATAGCACTGAGATAAATAATGCATTACTTTATTCAGTATTATGCCCCTGGTCAAAAATGTAGTTTATGTTTTAGCAGTTAAGACTTATTATTATTATTATTATTATTTACATGTCATTGATTGCAGCAATATCGTGTTTAAAGGACCACTATAGTGCCAGGAAAACATACGGCAGGAGCCGCGTGCACATTCAGCCTATGTTAGGGTTAATCCAGCCTCTAGTGGCTGTCTCACTGACAGCCGCTAGAGGGCTTCCGCGTTTCTCACTGTGAAAATCACAGTGAGAAGACGCCAGCGTCCATAGGAAATCATTGTGAATGCTTTCCTATGGACTGGCTGAATGTGCACGCGGCTCCTGCCGTATGTTTTCCTGGCACTATAGTGGTCCTTTAAACATGATATTGCTGCAATCAATGACATGTAAATAATAATAATAATAATAATAATAATAATAATAATAAGTCTTAACTGCTAAAACATAAACTACATTTTTGACCAGGGGCATAATACTGAATAAAGTAATGCATTATTTATCTCAGTGCTATTCAGGATAGCATGTGTAGGCTGAGATTTCCTGGTTGCAAACTGTGTGAATCATAAAAGTTAATATGATTAACTATATACTGGAGAGACCATATTCTTGCTGTTGATTATTAACTTTCAGTTGACAATTTATACTAACAAAACCTGTCAGTGCGACTATTGCTAAGGTGCCGTTGGTTGCAAATAATGGGTGGCGGCGTATGTGCATTTACTTTTCGTCAACCTATTTGTGTGGTCACTCACTGCCAGGATTATTTACCAATGAGAATTTAAAATTTCAGGCCATACTAGCTGAATCAAAAACATAACAACATTTTACAATATGGCTATTTTGGCATAATATCTGAAATTCAGTTTTGGCAATTCACACTTTAGTGAACAAACAGTGTGTGTTTATTGATTAATTACTAATTAATTATGATGGACTTTTCATTTTTGTTAGTAAAAATGGCAATTCTTAAAAGCATGGTTTTGTTTATTAGGCCATTACTGCTAAAAATTATTCAATGTCATCAGGTCTGTTACAATATTCTCCAGTTCATTACTTTAACATGTTCTCCAGGTACACAGATTATTCATTCACCTCTCTTTCCATAACAATATTGGACAAGAGTGTCACTTATACTCCAATGCAAACATCAAAACCTGGAACTGAAGAATACAGCGCTTTGGCTAAGCAAGTAATGTGACTGAGAAATGGCAAGACTTTTCACGAAGTGTAACCATATAGTTTTCATAATGAGAGGTTGAGTAGTGATGCAAAGCAGTGTCACGTTTGACGTGTCATATCTAGCATGGCAGAAACATTAGAAAGTGTATATGTCAAGCTGCTTTTTTTTATTGAGCTTTCCATCTAAAATGTTAATTGATTTGGCTCTGGTGGCGCACGGTACAGAGTTTTGTTTTTATAGACTTGTTCTAACAATATTAGACACTTGAGAGTGCATAGAGAGAAGAACATAAGAGTGGGAGGGTAGGGGATTAGGGGGAAGGCAAGTGGGATAAGAGAGCTGCTGCACATTTGCCAGAGGAGACACGTGAGAGGAATTGGGAGAATCACAGATGGTGGATGGGGAGAGCACAAGCACTGGATGAATGAGGGATAACACCAAGAATTATAAAATTCAAGTTAGGGTATGGAATGAGGAAATAAATTAGTCTGTCATGGGACACAAGAATACTTATTAAACCTGATTGGGAAATAAGATGGCTGTGAGTGTAGGGAAGCAAAAGTGGAAGACTGGCTCAGGCTCAAGAAAGATACAGCGGGATCCATGATTTCTGATGGTAACCGTGTAGTTTTGCTTGCTGTTATTTCCTGTTTTGCCTGGCTCAATTGAACACAAGTAATTTGATAAAGGGTCTTTATAACTACTGAATATGTTTGAACTGATACAGCTAGTGCCTAGAGGTATAGCTACCAAATAGCCATTCTCTTAATTAACCTTGACCTGGACCCTCCTCCTTAGCCTTTAACCCCTTAAGGACACATGATGTGTGGCATGTCATGATTCCCTTTTATTCCAAAAATTTGGTCCTTAAGGGGTTAAAGGACATGATTTCCATCTAAATATGAAGCTACTTCAAAGGGTAAAAAAAACAAAAAAAACATTAAGAAAGACTTTTGAATTTGTTTCTTTCTCTGCTGGACATGCACTGATTGTACATGGACTATCATGGAATCTTACAGATATTTCAGATGTCACAATAAAGACTTCGTCCAGTCACACACAAACACAAGTTATAAGCACATATAGCTACTCAAACACAGGCACTCACGCACACAGAGATACTTGCACTCACACACATAGACAAACAGATAATTGCATACAGAAATGTTACACATACAGGCACTCATTCAGACAGACATGCACTTCCACACATACATACATGCACATTCATACATACATAGATACTCATATATCAACTTGTAGCCATAATGTAAACTTTATTCCTGCCAATAAATTATTGCATGCAATAGTAATTTAATGTATTGCTGCTAGTAAAAAACTTTGTTCATGAACTCTGGCATATTGGAGTAGTATAAAGTATATCTCTATGTGTGTATATATATGCATTGGCTTCCAGTTAGATATAGGGCCCAATTCAAAATTCTGGCGCTTGCTTACAAATCCCTACATAATGCTGCTCCAACATACCTATCCTCCCTCATACACAAGTATGTCCCGTCGAGACCCCTGCGCTCAGCCCAAGACCTACGCCTATCCTCTGCCCGGATCCCCACCTCTGATGCTCGCCTTCAAGACTTCTCCAGGGCTGCACCTATTCTGTGGAACTCCCTTCCCTCCTCAATCAGACTTTCAGCCAGCCTCCACTCCTTCAAAAAATCTTTGAAAACTCACTTCTTCATTAAAGCGTATCAATTAAACTGTCAGCAGGTTTCTCATCCCCCACCCCATGACTCCATTCCTGCACCGGTCAAAAAGGACCTACCAAGCACTCAATAAACCCTTCTGTAACAAACTATTGAATTCCCCTACTTTAACCCTTTGTGTCACTATACCCCACTCCCTCTTGCATGTAAGCCTCAACCCCCTCTGTTCCTGTACGTCAGTGGTCTGATCTCAATTATGTGTCTGTTATTCCACCCATTGTACAGCGCTACGGAATTTGTTGGCGCTATATAAATAATAAAATAATAATAATAATAATAATATAAAAAATCCTTCCTTGTACATTGTTTCCTTGATACCATGGCAATAATGAAATATATTTTTGTTCAAGAAGCCTTAAGGCAACAGTCACATTATACTACAAATCCTTTTAAGTCATCTGATTTGTCTGCTAGAAAAAGTTTGCATAGGAGAAAAAGTTTGCATATATTAACCTCATTGGTGCTGTGCAAACAGTCACGTAGCTAGATTTCCCCATCTCAAGCAGAAATGACTGAAATAATTCTGACCACTTTCAGTGTGATGAGTATTATTTACAAAATTTAGCTTTTAAAAACACAGTACTAATATTTTACAGCAGAATACAACTTGCACAACAGGTAGTTTGCAATAAACAGGTTGATTTTATTGTGTGAATGTAGGCATCATATTCTGAAGATGTATTGTAGCGTGTCAGGGCAGATTTAAAAAAGATATAAATGTGAGATATGCTTCAAAGTTTTTTTTCTCCAGAATTAAATAGTTCTTTACATGCCTCTTTACATGTCTCTATGTTATCTCACTTTCGAGGTGATTAACAAGGCTTACCACATAGTCATCTTCATGTATTGTGTTTATACATACTCAAAATAAATAAGTAAAATAAACCCATAATTATTGCATTCAGTTAAAGTTTAGAATCAAAATTGCAGTTAGGTTACATTTGTCCCCATTCCCAATTGTAACCACATCCCGCTATGTCATAAGTATTGGCATTCTAGCGCACTTTTTAAACTCAACTGTCTATATAACCCTAACTACGCAAGCAAACTCCCAAAATATCAGGGAACAGATATCCATGGGTAACTCACTTGAACACAAACTAGCCGGTGTGATTACCCTACAGGTTTGTTTTCACTAAACAAGAAATTGAATTAAAAAATTCAGCAAAACAATTGCAATTTGGAAAGATTCTGCAGATCAACTAAAATGGCTATTTTATCCTAAATTTTGTAATTCTGTTTTCAATTTACTACAATTGGGTGTTTAGTTAGTAAATCCCTGTAAATTGGGGTGGGAGTGGGAGGCCCCCAATGTTTTACACCTCACGATATCTCATCCTTTATATTCCCCTGTAAATGGCAAAACCAGGAAAAAAAAAATTGAACAAATCTATCCAAGAATAGCACTTATAATGTTAATTAAGTGTATTTTAAATGCAAATGTGCATCCATATAGTTTCCAATAATTATTAAGCTGTAAATAAAATTATTATACATAAATGACCTACATGGCAGTACAGCATTAAAGGCATACTGTAAGGTGTACATTTTGCAATTTGTTTTTCAGTTATTACAATTCAATGATTAGTGGATAAATCATAAGATATTATTGAAACAAAGCAAAAATGCATCAAAAAATGCTACAAATACTTTTTTTTGTAAAAGTGAGATCTCGTTAAAAAAGAAGTAAATTGCATCATTAATTCTGTATTAATAGAATGATTGTTGCAGGTATTTGTACGCTCCTTTTTATCTAGGTATTTTGTTTGTAAATAATGTACTATTATCTTACCTTGGTTTGTGCTGTGATGAGGAAAGTACGTGCCTCAGACTAAGCTGTGAATGGTGCTGGGAGATACTCTAGTCCTTATTTATAACAGCTCAAACAGAAAGTAGGTGTTGTTGGCTCTCAGCCAAACCCTCAACAATAGGAAATGACACAAACATACGACCAGTGACAAAGTATACAAAACTAAATGCAACTAAATGGACATTTAAATATTTTACAGCATGCACATACAAATGCATCCCACTGAATACAAAGGATTCATAGAAATATTTAAAGGGACACTATAGTCAACATATAAAAGCAAGAAAGACAGGTCCCCCAGCCTTGTTTTTTGCTTTTATATGAACTTGTCATAACAAAAAAACAAAAACAAAAATCAGAGTAAGTTTTAATAATAAAACTTACCTCCGTTCCAGCGCCGAGCTCCCCGCTAGGCCACGCCCCCTTTTTGTCAAAATGACGAAATCGAAGGGCCCAATAGGACGCTTCTCCTTGAGATGGATTGAATGCCGCCCTATGAAGAAACTCAGCGCTCAACCACGCATGTGCGCGGAATGCGCGTTCGCAAGCTGAGCTGTCGACTGAGGTGGAAACTCCCATCATCCATATCCATCCATCCCCATCATCCATATCCATCCCCATCATCCATCCATTTCCATCATCCATTCATCCCCCCATTATCCATTTCCATCATCCATCCATTCCCATCATCCATATCCAACCATTCCCATCATCCATATCATCACCATCATCCACCCATCCCCATCATCCATATCCATCAATTCCCATCATACATCCATTCCCATCATTCATAGCCATCCCCATCATCCATATCCATCCACTCCCATCATCCATATCCAAATCCATCCACTCCCATCATCCATATCCAAATCCAGCACCCGCAAGGTCCACCTGCTCAAGAAAGCACATGTACAGGTCCGTCTGAAGTTTGCCAATGAACATCTGAATGATTCAGAGGAGAACTGGGTGAAAGTGTTGTGGTGGGATGAGACCAAAATCAAACTCTTTGGCATCAACTCAACTATCTGTGTTTGGAGGAGGAGGAATGCTGCCTATGACCCCAAGAACACCATCCTCACTGTCAAACATGGAGGTGGAAACTTTATGCATTGGGGTCGTTTTTCTGCTAAGGGGACGGGACAGGACAACTGCACTGCATCAAAGGAATGATGGACAGGACCATGGACCATCAAATTGTGGGTGAGAACCTCCTTCCCTCAGCCAAGGTATTGAAAATGGATGGGGATTCCAGCATGTCAATGACCCAAAACACACAGCCAAGGCAACAAAGGAGTGGCTCAAGGAAAAGCACATTAAGGTCCCGGAGTGGACTAGCCAGTCTCCAAACCTTAGTCCCATAGAAAATATGTGGAGGGAGCTGAAGGTTCGAGTTGCCAAACGTCAGCCTCGAAACCTTAATGACTCTGCAAAGAGGAGTGGGAAAAATCCCTCCTGACATGTGCAAACCTGGTGGCCAACTACAAGAAACTCCCATCATCCATATTCATCCATCCACTCCCATCATCCATATTCATCCATCCATTCCCATCATCCATATCCATCCCCATCATCCATATCCATCCATATCCATCCCCATCATCCATTCATCATCCATTCCCATCATCCATATCCAACCATTCCCATCATCCATATCATCCCCATCATCCATCTATTCCCATCATCCATATCCATAATTTCCCATCATACATCCATTCCCATCATCCATCCATTCCCATCATCCATATCCAAATCCATCCACTCCCATCATCCATATCCAAATCCAGCACCCGCAAGGTCCCCCTGCTCAAGAAAGCACATGTACAGGTCCGTCTGAAGTTTGCCAATGAACATCTGAATGATTCAAAGGAGAACTGGGTGAAAGTGTTGTGGTGAGATGAGACCAAAATCAAACTCTTTGGCATCAACTCAACTCTGTGTGTTTGGAGGAGGAGGAATGCTGCCTATGACCCCAAGAACACCATCCTCACCGTCAAACATAGAGGTGGAAACTTTATGCTTTGGGGTTGTTTTTCTGCTAAGGGGACAGGACAACTGCACTGCATCAAAGGAATGATGGACAGGACCATGGACCATCAAATTTTGGGTGAGAACCTCCTTCCCTCAGCCAAGGTATTGAAAATGGATGGGGATTCCAGCATGATAATGACCCAAAACACACAGCCAAGGCAACAAAGGAGTGGCTCAAGGAAAAGCACATTAAGGTCCCGTAGTGGACTAGCCAGTCTCCAAACCTTAGTCCCATAGAAAATACGTGGAGGGAGCTGAAGGTTCGAGTTGCCAAACGTCAGCCTCGAAACCTTAATGACTGTGCAAAGAGGAGTGGGAAAAATCCCTCCTGACATGTGTGCAAACCTGGTGGCCAACTACAAGAAACGTCTGTCCTCTGTGATTGCCAACAAGGGTTTTGCCACCAAGTACAAAGTTAAAGGGGTCAAATCACTCATTGACATGCAAATCAATTTATAACTTTTTTGACATGCATTTTTCTGGGGGTTTTTTGTGTTATTCTGACTCTCACTGTTTATTAGAATGTTTCTTAGCAGATTTAGATCATTGCACCCCCACCATTTAAAAAAAAGAGAACTTGTTTTTACGTACCTTTTTATAAAAGGCTTGGTAATCGCTGCCAGGCAGCAGCTCATCCTTTTTTAAAAATCATCTGGTTGGACCAATCCAAAGGTTCTCACAGAGATGCATTGGAGACCTACTAGACAAGGGCCGGCACAACCATAAGGTGGCAAAGGGGGCTGCCTTGGGGCGCATCGACCTAGGGGGTGCAATGTCCAGAGCTCCTCCTCCTGTCAGTCACCCCATGTAGCATGGCTGAGCTGACCGCGGAGAGGTTCTTCTGTATCCTCTACCTGGTCTGACAGGAAGTGGCTGAACTTCCTGTCAGACGTGTAGAAAATCCTCTACCACTACCCGCACAGTTACACTCCAAGGAGGGAGGTGAGCAGGCACAGGTGGAGATAGGTGGGAAGAGACTACAAATAGACAGGGAGGGGGAGTGGAAGAGAGACACAAAATTGGATGAGGGAGAAGAGAAGAGACAAAAAGTCAAGGTGCTGGGGGCAGAAAGAGACATACAGATGGGCTGGTGGAGGAGAAATAGACACACAAAGGAGTTCTGTGGGAGAAAGATACACATAAAGGGATGGGCGGGGAGAAAGAGACAGACCGAGGGGCTGGGAAGAAAAAGACAAATGTGGGACTGGGTTGAGAAAGACACACAAAGGGCCTGGGTGGAGAAAGAGATATACAGGAGACCTAGGAAAGAGAGCTGTGAGGGTGAAAGAGACACACAGAGGAGCTGTGTGGGAGAAAGAGATAAACAGAGGGGTTGGGTGAGGAGACACACAAGGGGGGTAGTAAAATACACATAAGGGTGGAAAAGGGAGATAAGATACACTAAAGGGTGGTGTAACACACAAAGGGGGATAAGATACACTAACGGGTAAAGCGGGGATATGAAACACAAAAAGGTTAGCAATTCGGTTCACCCCACAGGTTTTCTATCAGGTTCAAGTCCAACCACAGGAAGGACAAGTGAAGTGATACCTCCACTTCATTCTGAACACCACATCAAAAGGCTTTGGTCCCTGGCCCGGCAAGAAAACTTTGAACCTTCTCATCTTCCCAGGTAAAAAAAAATATATTGTTAACGTGTTCACTTTTATTTTCTGAGTGTTAGTGCCACTGCTAGGGGTGCCGCAGATTGGTCAGCTGACACTCTAAGCCAATCATTAGATCCCCATTCATAAAAAAGTTGAAAATTTTTATGAACTGGGAACTAGCGATTGGCTTAGAGCATCAGCTAACCACTCTAGCCAATCAGTACTTCTTGACACTCTGTTTTAGAAGCCGAATACCACTGAGCAACCTGGAGATCTGGAGCAGGAGGAAGCTTTTGGGTTTAAACCAAGTGAGAGAGGTGTAACCCCTTAAAAGAAAGAGAGCACCCAGGGGCCTCCTGCCATCATAGCATTTTCATTTAGATTAAATTTTTATGGTAACTAGAATGTTCCTTTAATTTGCTTAAAGGAACACTATAGTGTCGAGAATACAAACATGTATTCCCGAGGCCATAGTTGTGAAACCGCTATTTACGTATCCTGCCCCTCTCTCTCTCCTCCCCCCCCAATGGGTGTCCTGTTTTTTTTTCCCAAAATCTGGTCACCCTGGATTTATGTGATAATGACTATGCCCCTCCCCTTCATGATACTGTCAAAAAGGGGCCAAGCATGGATGTCATTACAATTACCCCCCCCCCCCCATGGAAAAATTCCTTTGGATGCCCATGGCTTCATGCTCTGTGGGTAGATCCCTTGTGGGTTAGGAGAAGCACCCTCAGTGTGCCTCAATGATAGGGTATCTCCCAGCCACAGAGTTGTTGTAGCAGAGGCTGTAAGGACTTTCTCCAGGAGAGTGTACTGCAGGTGAGATCCGTCTACACAGTTAGTGAGGAGCCCTCAGAGATTAGTGGAGTTTTTCCACAGACTGCCTCAAGGAGCAGGATCTTGTCCTGAATGGACTGGAAGCGAATGAGAATATCCGCTGATGCCGACGGTGGGGCAGATGACTGCTTCAGAAGGTGTAACATTCCTTCCAATTTAATAAGTTTTGCCTGTTTGGGTGGCAGGAGAAATGCAAATAGGCATCTTCCATTGCAGGTATTCTGTCATTAGTTTGAAGTTGTTGCCGCTGTAGTTCTTCAACCTTTTGTTCCACTTGCTCAAGCCTGGTATTGTGGGTGCTGGTGGTTGCCTCCAAGAGTGTGATCTTAGAAGTGTTTCTTTCCACAGCTTCTTTAAAGTAGGCCATATCTGTGGCTATGTTTTTACGCAGGTCCGCAAGCATAGATTTGAGGAGATCTGCCGTCACCAGTTCTCCCCCAGTCGGGGCCTCAAGTGCAGGCCTGGGTATCGAGTCTAAAGATGGCCCCTCTCCAAAATCAAAGGATATGTCCTCTGAGGCGTAAGTGCAACTCCCGTCCTTCGGCGCCATCTTGTCCCAAGAGGCCTTCGGCGAGATCCGCTGTAATTCACCAATATCTCGGCTATGTCGGCTTTTATCAGGTTTAGGTTTTTGTTTTTTTCTGCCTATGGTTCACCCCAGCAGGTAGGTAAGATGAGTGACCTGTTAGTTGCTCGA